ATATTTTTATAATCAGCAACAGTCAAACCTAAGGCTTAATTACTGTTTCGACAGGATTAACCCATGCTCATAGAAAAGGGTAATCTTATGGAATTTCAAAGCACTAGATTTTGGTTTTTTGACCTCTTGAAAACTGTGTACCCTAATGTCGGTCGGTCCATCTCCATATCCCCTCCCACGGGCGAATTTTAAACCTCAGTCCTCCTTTACCACACGTTCTGCAGTACATTCACTCTTATTTATTTTCCGTCACCATGACGTCACTCACCATATATTTATACGTTTCGTATTTCTAAGCTAATTTTATGTATGTTTGCACATATTCATGTAACCTCACATTTATGCAAGCCACAGTTGTAATAATATTACATTCTTAATTGGACTTGTATTATAATTAAGGATAATTTAAGAGAGGGATTAGGGGTGGATCAAAGTCAAGTCAAATAAAAATTATTAAATTTTAGGTTAGGATCGTTAAAAATCTATCTTATTTCATCTTGTCTTATCTCGTTGTTATAGTTTGACTATAATACTCGACAGACACAAGAAGAGATAAAGGAAACAAAGCAAAAACAAGAAGCAAGATTACTGAATTCACTTCATTATATGATTGTTATCCTCTCAATCACAAAGAGCTATATTTATACAATTGATAGAAGCAATTCTAGAAACTCTAGTAGAAGCTCTAGCAATTTCAACTGTTAACAACAACCTTAACTAACTCTAACAAACTAACTATGAGAAGCCAGCTAAGCAACAAGCTCATTTCAGATCATTGCACACTAACATTCCCCCTACTGCAAACATCTCCTTGTTTAAGAGACCGACTCCACGAGACCGAGTCATTTCACACTAACATTCCCCCTACTGCAAACTCCTCCTTGTTTAAGAAACCATCTTTACACGAGACCGAGGTGTACACAACACCATGCATTAGTACTCCCCGTACTGCAGATTCTACTTGTTTACTCCTCAACTCTTGAAATCTGAGACTTTTCTGGAATTTGAGACACAAGTAGTTGTTGTTTAAGAAACATAGGAGCAGACAATGGCTTAGTTAGAACATTAGTCACTTGTTCAAAAGCAGTAACCTCCTGAACAGAGAGTTTTCCAGCAGCCACCATCTCTCTAACAAAAAACAGATTGTTGAAAACATTTTGATATTTCGATATAACAAATTAAGATAAATGAATTTTAAGATTTTCTAAGTATATTCGATATAATTATTCGAATATCAAAATATTACTCCAAATCTTTCAAATGTCATTTTTAATCCTTACTCAAGTGTAAAATTAAGTTTTAAACTTAAAATAATTTCAAAACAATTTTACAAAATATTTCAAACCATTTCAAAGCCAAAATTTCCAGATTGCTCAGAGGGAACCGATCCCCCCCCAAGGGGGTACCGATTCCCCCCTGAATGTTTTGGCTCCGAGAAAAACATAATGCTCGGAGGGAACTGATTCCCTTAAGGGGTATCGATTCCCCCTGTTCAACGGTCGAAATATTTGAATTTTACACTTAGGGAATCGATTCCCTATGAGGGGGTATCGATTCCCCCCACGCTCCAAGCAGAAATATTAATTGTTTTCACACTTAAACGGCTCCAATAACTTCATTAATGATCCCCAACGTTCAGAAGTAATTCAAGGAGTATTTAAACAAGCTTAGAGGCATTTGATCAACAATATTTTTTTTATCAAGAATCAAGAGAGAATCAAAGAGAAAGCATCAAACCTCAAGTTTGAGCAATTCAATCCATTTTTCATTCAATATTCATCTTTGCTTTCAAGAACACTACTTGTACTCAATTGTATTCATCTTTGAGTGTTCTTTTCTTTGTTCTAGAATTGTGCAAACATCTTTCCTTGTGAGGATTTCCTTGTAAGTTTGCAAATTTGTAATCTTCTCTTTGAGAAAGAGTGTTCTCAAGAATTGGGGTATATTCTTGAGGGAGTTGTAAGGTTATCTCTTTGGCCTCAAAAGAAAGAACAAATTAGTGAATTTGTTGGAAAATCCTTAGTGTGGATAGCTAAGGTAGTGGAAGTAGACTTTGATTGAGAAAGTCGAACCACTCTAAATCGTTGTACAATTACTTTCAATTTTCTGCAAAAGCTTCCACAAAAATTTTAATTGCTAATTCACCCCCCTCTTGGCCGATTCCGTCGATCGATTAACTCAACAATTGGCATCAGAGCTTTACTCATTTGAAGGTTTAACCGCCTCTTGAGTAGATCCGGGAAGAGTTATATTGATAATCAAAGTCATCAATGGCCTCCACTTCAAACGTCAACTCCGGTCTCGATTCGATGCCCGTTAACAAGCCTCGTTTCTTCAATGGAGCTAACTATGCCTATTGGAAGAATAGGATGATGTATTTCATTCAAGCCAGTGACATGGGAGCATGGAATGTTGTAGAAGATGGATATATCAAACCTCTCACTCATCCAAGATTGTGGAGTGAAGGAGAGACAAGAATGTTCAAGATCAACTTCAAAGCTATCCATATCATATTTTGTGCTCTTGGACCAAATGAATATGGAAGAGTTTCATCTTGTACAATTGCCAAAGAAATATGGGATAAACTACAAGTCACTCATGAAGTCACCGACGAGGTAAAAAAATCTAAAATTAGTCTTCTAACACATAGCTATGAAAATTTCAGGATGAAACCAAATGAAGATTTCAAAGCTATGACGGATAGATTCTCAACTATTGTCAATGGTCTCAAATCATATAGAGAGATCATTCCTAACGAGAAGCTTGTGAGGAAGTTAGTTTACTCACTTCCAAAATCATGGAAATCCAAGAAGATGACAATCATCGAGGCTAAGAACCTAAAGTCCTTAACTCTTGAAGAGCTAATTGGTTCTCTCCTCAATCATGAAATGATGCTTGAAGATGAGGTGGACGTCGATAAGATTGAAGTGACACCAAAGAAGAATGAGAAGAAGAAAAACATTGGAGTTGCTCTCAAATCCACAAAAGATAAGATTGATTCGGATGTAGATGACGATGACGAGGAAATGGCATTGTTTGCCAAACGGTTCAGAAAAATGATGAGACCTTACCGAGGAAGAAAATTCAAACGAAATGAAGGCCTAAAAAATGAATCAAAAGAGAAGGACCGATCATTTGCTATGAATGCAAAAAAAATCGGGGCATCTCAAATATGATTGCCCACAATTGAAGAAAAATGGTCAATCAAAGAATAAGCACAAGGCTTATGTGGCTACATGGAGCGATGAAGAAGGTTCCGATGAAGAGGAACAAGAAGTAGCAAACTTGTGCTTGATGGCATTCGGGGAAGATTCTAAGGTAACCTCTAACTCATCTGATTTTGATGATTTATCTTATGATGATCTATTAGAGGAATATAATGGGTTGGCTTCGGATTATGAGAAATTGTTTTTAAAATATAAAAATGATATTTCAAAATTGAAAAATAAAAATAATCTCATATCCAAAACCAACAACGATCTTGAAAGTAAAATCAAAGATTTGCAAATCAAACTAGAAGAGTTTGAAAAGAAAAATTCAGATTTGCAAAATTTACTTTCAAATGTCAATGATGATCATCAAAAGAAAATTGATGATATTAAAGCTTCTTTTGATAAAGTTGGAACAAAACGTTTTGAAAAAAGAGAAAATTCAAAATCCAACTTTATTAGAAAAAGTTTTAAAAACTACAATCATAGAGGTCCCCGAAGAACCTCTAATGGAAAAATCGTTAGAAGTGTATGGGTTCCTAAAGAGCTCATTACTACTAAAGATAAGGATATCCTACACAAATGGATACCTAAGGGGATTAGGATTTTGGAAACTAATGAATATGGACCCAAAAGAATTTGGGTACCAAAAATCAAAAATTAATATATGTTTTTAGGGAAAGGAGCATTGCTACAAGGCACGGGAAAAAAATTCAAATTCATAGTACCTTGATAGTGGATGCTCAAGACACATGACCGGAGACAAAAGCCGGTTCATAGAGCTTAACGCCAAAAATGGAGGAGAAGTGACTTTTGGTGATAATTCAAAAGGTCACATTATATTGATCAACAAACGAACATTATATGAACAGTTTATTAATCTCACTTGAACATTCTGTTCATTTATACCCAAACCATTGATATAACGTGCAAGTGTCTACCCGAGTATTAGTCAATTATGTGATAATTAGGATTATTATTATAACTTTTTATTTGTATATATTTAAAAATAATAATTATTATAATACCTTTCCACCTATATGTTCTTTAATTATCTTATTATCTTGTTAGTCGGAGAGGGCGAATGAATTTTCACCTTGAATTTAAGAGAGATATTAGGGGTGGATCAAAGTCAAATAAAAATTATTAAATTTTAGGTTAGGATCGTTAAAAATCTATCTTATTTCATCTTGTCTTATCTCATCACGTGACCATCTCTAATTATGATCATTAACAATATTAATGCTAGAATTGATTAGATTATAAATTTTAAATTCATTGATGATTAAATAAAAATTTTGATTCATCTATTGAATTATAGATACTTTGTCTTGATTTTTTCATTTTTTAAACGACGATATCTGCTTTTGGATTTATATCATTAATATTTAATTAAATTAATTTGATCGAGTGATGAAGTATGTTTTTTGTTGAATTTATAAATTGGTAAAAATGTTTTTTTTTGTAAAAAAGGAAAAAGGAAAAAGCAAATATATTTGATACAATAATAAAATGTAATATATTTTCAAGAAAAGGAATTGTATTCGAATGTTAAAAATCATTGATGACTAACTTGGAATATAAACCCTAATATAGATACCAAAGATAGAAAATAAAAACAAACATAGGTAGCTGAGTATTTTGTAATTTAATAATGAGTAATTGTTTCCACTTTTTCTGTCCCACTTTGAGATAAAGCAAAAGCGGAGAAAAAAACAAGAAACAAAAAAGGATGAGAGAAAGAAAAAGGCAAATCAATAAAGAATTTTTAAACAACAAAGGCTCTCAAAACCTCCATTGATTCAAACTCCATCGAAGGGAATAGAGCTTGTGGCTTTCTTCTCTACTTAAACCAGGCTTTGCAATCTCAATATCTTCTCTACAAACAGCAAGTGAAAACGAAAAACAAGGAGATAAACAGAAAGCTTTCAAGTGATCACTTCACCACCACCACACCACCGCCACGTCCGCCGTCTTCCTCGTAGTTGTTTGTTGTTTATTTTCTTGTCAAAGGGCCATGAACCGAGGAGTGTTGCAGAGCTCTCCAGTGCAGCAGATGATGGCCACCGGAAACCCTAACTGGTGGAACATCAACACCACGCGCCCACCGCCACCGTCGACCCATCTACAACAGCAACAACCACCTTCTCCGTCTGCTTTCTTCCCTCATTTCACACCCACTTCTTCTTCTTCCTCCAACTCCTCCAATTCGCTTCATATTCCTTATTGGCATGAGCATGATAACCAAGAGCTTCCTCACTCATGGAGCCAACTACTCATGTATGTGTATATGGATATGGACGATACATCATGCATGTTTTATTCCTTGTTTTAATTTCGCGTTACATATGGTTTATTTCTAGGGGTGGATTAATGGGTGAAGAACATGCATTACACCATGTGAAGCAAGAAAACCCAGCTAGTGCAAGCAGCTATGTGTATGGACATGCAAGCGAAAGCTCTCATCTTCATCATCAGGCAAACAAACCAGCTGTTTGGTCTCATCAAATAATGGCTGCCGCCGCCGCCGCCGCTTCATCGTCCCCCAAGTCATGTGTAACGAGTTTCAGCAGTACTAACATGTTGGAATTTTCCGGTAGTAAAGCTGATGCAATCCAGTCATTCCCAGATCGGTCTTCTAATGTAAGTTGAACAAATTACACAGAAACTTAGGGTTTCCAGATATGTTTCAAGACATATTAAACATCGATTCAACATGATTAAGCTCTGCTTAAATCGTTAAACAGATAAGTGGGGCACATCGAAAAAATAATTCTCATACCCTTATTTTGTTGTTTTGGTAGTGTAATAGCAGTGGAAGTGGTGGGGCAATGAAGAAAGCTAGGGTTCAGCCTTCTGCAACCCAATCCAGCATCAAGGTAATGTACAGAAAAGAAAAAGCCAGTAAAAAATTATGGATTTAACCATTCAGCCTTCCATCTCATCTGTCATATTCACCGCATAAACACAAATTGCACGCACACTCATACAAGATACCCTTGAAACCAGAAAACAAGCACACTCGTCCGTTGTCTGGTACAAAGTTTGTCCTCCTTTGCTTGTCCATTTCTTCACAGATGAGGATTCTCTTGGCCTTGCTATATATCCCTTTCTCTCTCTCTCATGTATGTGTGTTAAAGGATTGATTAATCAGCTTTACATGTATCAACAGGTGAGGAAGGAAAAATTAGGGGACAGAATTACAGCACTTCACCAGCTTGTTTCTCCGTTTGGGAAGGTATATATAATGGGAAAAATACACTCATGGCCACTTAGTTATTAGTTAGGTCATAAATGGATAACTTTTTTTCTTCTAAAAGTTGTAATTTAGTGAATATATTTATAAATGGATCGCTTGTTAAATATTAGATAGAATAAGGACGTAACCTGATATAACAGTTAATAATTTTAGTCCAAAAAATTGATATATTCTATTAATTTAATCATAATTTAAAATAATTCAATAAACTTAACACTCTATATTTTAAAATTCTATCAATTTAATCTTTATTCTTTTCCTAAATTGCTTTTTCTTCTCCCATATTTTTTTTTTACTTTCTTAGTATAATAACGTTTAACAATAACTTATTATTTTTTTATGATAGAATTTAGTTATCAAACTATTGGTTTGATCCGATAGACTCATTTGGTTTGATATTATAGTAAAATTAAGACTAAATTGATGGAATTCTTATATATGAAAAAGGGTTAAATTTATTAAATTATTTTCAGTTAAGGCCAAATTGATAGAATAGATAAATTTGGGGACTAAACTTCTATTATACTACACCACATCAGATATATATTTTAACTTTAATGATAGACTATATATTTATAATAACATTTTAATTAAATGACCTAATTATAACTTTTAAAAGGAAAAAAAGAGATCAATTTTTAACCTAACTAATAATTAAGTAACCTAGGGGTGTATTTTACCCATATAAAATAAAGCTTTAATAAATGAGTTTGAGAATGGTCAGAGATTTTACCCTTTTTACTATGTAAAAAGAACCCATGAATAAAGGTATGTGGTGTGTCATATTTGTGTGTCTTTTGCAGACTGACACAGCCTCTGTCTTGTTAGAAGCTATTGGGTACATCAGATTCCTTCAGAGTCAAATTGAGGTAAATTTGTGTCCTTTTTTTTATTGCAGACAACCATGAGAGACATTAACACCGCACTGTTCAACATTTTGCTTAGTTATTGAAGCATACATTCTCTTTGACTGTAGGCTCTCAGCTTACCGTACTTGAGCAATGGACAAGGAAACATAAGGCAGCAGCAGCCTGTAAGAACACACACATTGCTTAGATTCTCAGATTTCTCTATTTTTCTTCTCTGCATGTCTGCATGAAAATATACGTGCATATATATGTTTCGGAGTTATTAATGTGGTATTAATTGCTTAATGATTATTCTTTATTAGGTTCAAGGGGAGAGAAACTGTATATTTCCTGAAGATCCTGGCCAGGTAAATAAACTTTATTCGACCCAGGAACTTAAATCTTTATTTCGTTTATAGCTGGAAAAAAAGAGTAAAAACTTAAATTTATTTTAATTTTATATTATTAAAATGGATTAATTAATATTTTATTTTTTTATTTTGAAAAACATCTAAAAATTAAAAATTATGTTAAATTAAGTTTTTAATTAGATTTTAGGGCGATCTTCGTATTGATAAAAAAAAATCCTTCCTAATTTCATTTAAATGAACTACTTTTACATTTATTTAATTCATTGATTAAAATGCTTTAGTTTGATTGACAAATGATTTAAAAAAAAATCCATCTTTCTTTTTTCTAGCTGTTGAATGAAAACTGCATGAAGAGGAAAGGTGGACCTGACAAACAGGTAATTCCTCACAACTATAAGTAATGTATAATTTAAAATTTATTAATAATTTCCATTTTTTTTTAAAATCACATACCTTAAAATAAAAGTCGAAATATTAAATTTTATTTTCTCATATATATATATATACAGGAGAGTCATGAAGAACCAAAGGACCTGAGGAGTAGAGGGCTATGTTTGGTTCCAGTGTCATGCACACTTCATGTCGGCAGTGACAACGGCGCCGATTACTGGGCTCCGGCGTTTGGCGGCAGCCTCCGATAGAAGGCTTGTTACCGTCGGAAAAGGCTACGCAAGATTTAAAGAAATGTAGGGGTAGGGGGATGAGAAGTTTTCAGTGGGAAGGATATAACATCATGAGCAGTCACTCTGCAAGAAAAAGATGAAAGGCTGATTGCTCATGATGCTATACGAAATGTTACTTTCGTTTGAACTACTTTGTAGATGATTTGTGTGCTAGAATTAAGTCACCGGACGAGTAATTTGGATGATTTAGGCTCTAAATTATCTATTTACATTTTATTTATATTTTGGAGCCCTCCGAATTTATAATTTTAGGCTCTAAATTTATTTTTATTAATTCGTTGGCAAAACGATTTATATATTGGTCAGGGATGAGTATTCGACGTATGTTCATTGGATTTAGATCCAAATTCCAACCCGATCTTATAGGATAAATTTTTAAAAATTTTAGTATGGGTCAAGTAATGCTTTGTAAGGATAAGATCAGATTTATATTTAATGTGAAAAATATTCGATCCGACCCATAAATTCCTCTTCTCTATAAAAGATTATTTTTTTTATAAAAAAGTGAAAAATATTCGACCTGACCCATAAATAATAGTATAATTGATCTTTATATATTTAAAAATAATTTCTATAATACATTTCTCTATACTTTTTAATTAGGTTATTATTTTATATAACAAAAATGAGGATATATATATATATATATATATATATATATATATAAAAGTTCAAGTACCATATTTTACACAAAAAATAAGATCAAATTTTGATTGGTGGAATTTCTAAATTCAAACCTAATTGGATGATAAGTAGATAGATGTTATACTGAAGCCAGTTTAGGATAGACTAAAGATTTAATCCAACCCACGATCATTCTTAATATTAATTTTAATAATTGACTTTTATTAGATTTAAGATTAATCCTTAAATAATTCTCACGTCATTCACTCAATTATAATAATAATAATGATGCTATTACTATTATTAAAATCAATAATATTTAATTTATTACTAACTCACGATTTCTAATTTATTTCCATATTCAATATCTTATAATAATAATATTTAATTTATTACATAGGCGAGGTTGATTTTTTAAATTTATTTTCTTAATAAATTCATGCTTAAATGATTAAAGTGAGTTTTGTTTTTCCATAACGTCTTGAATTCAAACCGTTGTATCTATAATATGTGTTTAGTTATTAATAATTAAAAAAATGAACAAATATTACCTTATAATAATCAAGATTTCTGGAATTTTGTTGCAGGTTCTAATGTGAGCTGGAGTGTTAATAGAATTTTGAAACTGCGATCTATTGCACTCACCATCTTATCATCTTCTGGTTATCTTAGGCTTAACGACATTTGGGAATCTATTCGTATCAAAAGAGAAGGTTCCCGGCAGAATCTTATCTGGTTTCCCATGCACATTCCTAAATTCAGTTTGATTGCTTGATGTCTTGTTAAACAGATTACCAACTAGAGATCGGCTACTCAAAATGGGAATTTCCACAGATGGGACTTGTGTTAACTGCAGTAATGATCAGGAGACGATAAATGTTCTCTTGTTGTTCGTCTTTGGAGCTCTGTCCTTATGCTTAATGGCTCGAAGAATGCTTCATCTACTTGGGAAGAAATGATTACTCGAGCTTCTTCAACTTGGAAAGGGAAATCCTTGCTCATCACCATCCTGAAGATTGCTTGGACAGCCTATATCTACACTTTGTGGGAGGAAAGGAATCGTAGAATCTTTCAAGGTCGTCATAGATCAACCGATGAATTGCTCAAGATTATTATTGAAGTCGTGCGAATTCAAACTAAAGGGTAAAATATTAATAGAGCTGATAGAACAAATTCTAACCTTTGTATTGCTTGGGGTATTACTTAACCCAATCAATGTCTTTTGTAAGTATGTTGTTTGTATTTCTGTTCTGATTGGTTTTGTTTATTTGTAGCAGAACTCTGCTCTCCTAGATAATAAAATCTAACTTATCCAAAAAAAAAAAAAATTATTTCCATAATAATAAGTTATTTAGACATCTACTTGATCTTTAAAGTTATATTTTAACTGTTTCAAGTTATCGCAAATATTTTATTTAAAGGAAAAAATCATAAATCTAAGATAATGGTATTAAAAATATTTCAAATATCATATTTATTTTTAGGATAAAATATACTCAGAGGTAAATTGGATTTCTGTAGTTAACAATCTTTCAAATATTATAAAATAGTTATTAAAATTTTAAATAATTATAAAATAATCATTAAAAGATATCAAATTATTATAAAACATTTTCTAAATTATTAAGTTAAATAATCTTAAATTTATAAAAAAATTATTGATTATTTGAATGCTGTAGAGGATCATTTTGTAAGTATTTAGAAGGTATAATAACTATTTTAGAATATTTGGAAAACTATTAACCAAAAATATTATTTTATGTAATTCAATGATCTTTAGTTTATTTTACTCTTATTTTTATCATAATTTTAATTAAAGTTTTATACCCGTTTTTATTATTTTATTAATAAAAACTTATTTATTATTAATTTTTTTAAAATTTATCATAATATTAGATTTACTAATTAACTAAAAGATTGGTTATGCATGACACTCATAACCTAATTTATTTGATTCAGAATATTACTTTAATGATCTAATACACGAACCAGGTCCCTCTTTTGAAACAACGGAATCAAAATCCATTTTCCACCAATTCCTTCATCATAACACTCGAAAACAAAATCAAATAGGGGAAGAAAGCTTCGAGAAAATGAATCCCATAGTTTGTGGAGTAGAGAAAATAAAAGGGTTCATTAACGACTTCATTAAAGGCCGTGATTACTCATCTCGCCGCAATCCGGTATTTCATTATCCATTTTCTCTGTTGTTTTCTGGGTACTTTTTTTCGCTTTAATTTTATGATTCCATTTCCTTTCTTGTAAAGATTGAAATCTTGAAGAGGTTACAGCGAGAATCATTTTCAGACCTGATGAAGCTCCGAGAACGACAAGACAGAGTCGAACGTTTGCTTTCGTTTTACAAAGCATCAAAGGGGAATCAATTCCAAGGATCAAATACCCTTTTGAGAGGGGAAGTTGATTTCTGGCAGCCGTGTTGTTAATGTCCAATGTTGACGACGAACATTGGGGCGTGTCGGTTGGGGAATCAGAACTCGGGTCGATTCCAAGTTTCGTTCGAAACGACAGTGGGGATAAGATACCTTCGGGATTGAATTCATGGCTAATCAGAAGAGGATTGAAGATAACAATGGCGATGTATATGGAACCCAGTTAACGTTGTCCAAGTGTTTTATAAAGGAAATATTGGTGATTGGTTTTCTGCTATGGTGATTCCATTTGGAGCTCATTTAGAGATTTGGATGCTGCCTCGGAATTTTCCCTTCAGGTAACTTAAACTGTTTATTATCTGTTTCGAAACCATCTAGACTTCTTATAGGAGCTAACTGTTACTTTATTTTAATTTTATAAGTTATAGTGTAGATTTGTTTTGGTTAGATTCCATAATTGATATGAACTTTTAGTTGTTTTCCTGAAACGGTTTTTCCTTTTTTTGTCTAGGATGAAAAGGGACTCACTGATTTATCATTTGGGCCACCTATGTTGCACCAGCATAGTGGAAGTGCAATCGGGTTTGCAGTCCGAAGGTTGAATATCATTGCTTCGTTCGCTCAATCAGTCTGTGGAATGGGAAATGAGCATTGCTTCAGTACTTTGGACAAGTTGTTTGTCAACTTCCGATAAGATTGAACCTCTCACTTTTAGGTCTTCACCGAGGCCTAAATTGCCGAGTCGGAATCTCCGCCCCGAGCCGGTGTGGTTCCGCTTGGATTGTCTAGACATATTGAAGACTCTGGTACAGTAATTGAGGCACCTCTTCCACCTTTGACAACAAACACCCCTGATGATCTATTGCCCTGAAGCTGGAGTCAGAACTTGACGAATACCAAAGACTTGGGGTTGGATCGAGATGAAACAAGCAAATCCTGGAGCTTTACAATGGGCTTTTAGTTTGACCGATTTTTCTGAAGATGTATTTGGTTGGGGTGTGAGTGTTGGGGGATTGTTGAAGGTCCCAGAAGTTGGGATCACTATCAGATTGAATCCTATGTGAAATTTAACCTGGTAAGAGATTTAGCTTGAGGCCAGGTGTTACTTATGTAGAGATGGAAATTCCAGAACCCTGGCCCTTGCGTTACGATCTAACTGTTTCTTCTAATTACCACTTTCTCTGAAAGGTAGGAGTTTCTGAATTTTGTGGGAAGTCCTTTGTTTTGGGAAAGTTCAATTTTTGTTAGGTGTATAGATTCATTCTTTGATGAAATTCTTCATAATTTTTTTTTGTAAATTTGTTGGAGCTGTTGCCTTTTCTAGTCTTAGAGAAGAATGTGCTTTTCTTGATATACTCCATTTTAAAATTCAGGATGTCTATTTAATCTCACATGCGAAAGGATAATCTTGTGACTTTTTCAGGTATTATGTATTACAATAACGAGACATCTAAGAATTTGAGAATTGCCATTGTGTGACCATTCAAACATTTATGATCTTGCTCCTTATTGTTATCAATATGTTCAAGTTCGTAGAAACAAACATATCGTTTTTTTTTCATTTGATCAGCCATTTTTTTTATTTCTTATCTGTTGCCTGGGTTTTCCATTTCCTTCCATACATGGAACTGGTTGATGTAATTTCACTAGGTTCAGTCATAGTCATTTTTTCTGGAAGCTAATCTGCTCATTTTCCTCTATGGTTACTGTTTGGTAGAAAAGATATACAGGTTCATGTTTCAAAAGTTTACCTTTTTTTATATATACTCTGAAGGTTTGAATCTGTCTCAAAAGTCTTGATAATGTGCTTTAGGAACTACTTTAGGGTAATGTAGATTTATTTAGCATCGTTTTGTTGGAGACAGTTATTACATGCAATCTCACCATGCTTTATCAGAAAATCAAAAAGCTCTGGTTGAAATTACCAATTATTATCACGGAGCTATGTTTCCAGGTACTATGTTTTCACTTTACTATTTTGCTTCAGGTATGTTTTTAATATCGATATTGGTCACATGTATAGTGAAATGTTACTCATTTGTATGAATTCTCCTCTCTATATCTTTAATACCTTGATATTGTTTTGATTACCCTGCACATGTTTATTAACTTACAATTCTCGCGAACACTGTCATTTTCTTAACCGTCTTCGCGATAGTTGTTGCTATTTTCCCCCTTTGGGGTATTTTGTCACAGCTGATGCTTAACGCCTAACAAATTATTTGTATGCCTTTGGAACCAAACTAGCTGGTCCTGTTAGTTTATTCTTTACAGTATCTGCTGGCACAAAGCCTTGTTTGCCCCAACTGTTTTTCCCAATCCTAACGACCCTAAACTAAGGGGTTCTCCCAGAACTGCTTCAACTGGTATTGTGCTTTGGTTGGGAAAAAAAACTTGTATATTTATATACCATGGTAATTTTATCTTCAAGACAAGGCCTGATGAAACATGGTCTTCACTCTCTATCAGATTGCCAGTGTGATTTATTATGTTCTCATATTTTCATGTTCTCAGTGCTGATTTACCTGCTTTCCAAAGTCGATGTGGCGGTTTATATGATTAATCGCCTAACATTGCCACCATATGGATTCTGATGGATGAGAGTACTACCCTAAAGGTTAAAAGTTCAATGCAGCAATGGAGAAATCAAGGTACAAATACATTCTTGGTTGATGAATTTACAAATAACGTCATATATGATGTGATACTTTACAATGGCTCAGTGTAAGTTTTTTAGTTCTTTTATATAAGTTTTTTTTCTTGTTTGAGCTGATAGTCGAGCAACACATATGCCCATTTTTAAAGACCTTTTAGAGTTGCTTTGTCCATATAGTTCTCATCTTGGCCATGGAATTCCTAGCCATCTTCTTAAACCATCCTTTGGTATTTATAACAGTGGTTACAGTTTTAATTGTTTCATACCGCAGTTGATGGTCAATTGGTCATTATTAGATGGACATGGGGCGGTATGAGTCGATTTATTTGTCGCCCCAACCCAAAATTCTCTACTTTCATCCACTCCCGAACCGTCCCGATGTTTGATGATGTTTTATCTGTCTCAAGCTCGTCTCGAAATTTGGGATAAAATCATGTTCCGATCAGACACTAGCTTTTTTTCAAAACCCAAAATACTCTAACCCGAGAGCAAAACTCCACACAAACATCAAACAAAAACCTTGCAAAGGAGTAAGAAAAGATAAACAAACCCAAACAAAGATGTAACAAAAAGGAAGAGAAGAGGAAAGAAGATTCATCTTTTTCGGTCATGATGATTTTCGATAATCAAAGGTTCTTTTCGACAATTCGAACAGTGGAGAGGCCTCTCTTGGTGAGGAGAACAACATAGTTTTGTTTTAATATGATCAGATGGTGGAGGAAGGTGATTGGAATAAACAAACCGCAAGGTTTTGACATAGTTTCATGGACATTAAGACAATTTTCAGTGAAACGAACACTAAATTTGTGCTTAGGAGAATTGGGAAGGATTGTTGGGAAGCTTTAGGGTTCAACGGTCATTGGTGACAACAATTCATCGTAAATCCATTTTTAATTCAATTCAAATTCAAATTCTGACAAATATTCAAAGGGAGGTGTAAAAGGCTGAAGCTCTTGAATGCAAAGGAGAGCTTGCTAAAGCAATTAATGGCATCCAACAAACCCTGCCTTCAAACATAAATGCATCAACACAAAATTCACAGTCCCCAACAAAATGGTCCATTCTTTTTGCAAGAAAAAGTTGAAAATTTGACGACCAAGAAAGGTAAAACAAAAAGATTTTTTTACACACGTTTATTTGTTACAGACTTGAGTGAAAAACGCCTGGAAAAAAAGAGAGAGATTTAGGCTAAGCAGACTGGCAGATAAAGGAACATGGTGGGGACTAGGGGGAATTGCAGAAGAAAATTGGGGAAGTTATGAGATCTTGTCCTTTACAATTGATGAATGTGACATTTTCACAAATGTACAATTATTGATATAACATATGTCATACCATTATTTTAGATGATATCGTACATATCACTTAGTATATGAGTTAATTAGTTAATTAACCGTTTATATCTAATAATATCTGTTTTGATCAAAAATTAAAAATATTGAGGATAAAATATTTCAAAATAAAAAAGAATAGAGAGTAAAATAATCATTTTCATAAGAAAAAAAAAGGATAAACTATCTATTCAATACATCATTTATTTGTTGTGTTTTAGCTTTGAAACTTATTTTTTTAAAGAGATCATATCTAATATTTTGTTTCTATTTTAATATTTATTGTTAAATTTAATTATTATTGATAAATATAATAAAATATAATAATATATTAATCTCAAAATTTATATATTCTATTAAATTTTCATTATTGGAACTCACATTACCTATTTCATGCACGGTCATTGGGACATCAAGCAGGGTTCAATTAATGGGAGGGATTGTTTATTCCTTAGCAAGTGTAATAAATAACGCGAAGAACATATAAGCTGGGAATCAAACAAAGAAGTGGCCAATTTCCCCCATAAGTGCCCCTTTGTGAGAAACAGTGGGGGACCCATTTTTCTGCAATAATAAAAAAACAATTTTTCTGTTTGGACTTTTGATTTTTGAAATATATGAGAGGGATATGGATAAACAAAAAGTGCTGCCCTTTAACTACAGTTGTACAAATGACTTCTCTCATAAGCCATTCCATTTCTAATATATATATTTATCTTCTGAAGTGCACTTTCCCCCTCCTCTTTATATAAACTTTTCAAGCCTTTTCTATACATAGGTAGAGACATTTTTGCTTAGCTGAAGAAGTACTATCTGGGACTGGGAACAAGTTGGAAGCTTTGAGAAGATGAGTGCTTCAAAGTTCATTAAATGTGTTACTGTTGGAGATGGAGCTGTTGGCAAAACATGTATGCTCATTTGTTACACCAGCAACAAGTTCCCTACGGTATGCTTTTTTCCCTTCGTGTTACTGTTTTTTTTTATATAAAAAAACTAAGAGTTTTTTTTATGTCAGGATTACATACCAACAGTGTTTGACAATTTCAGTGCCAATGTGGCTGTAGATGGGAGCATTGTTAATTTGGTTTGGGATACTGCTGGTATTCCTTTGAGCTTTTTTTCTTTGATGTTTGGTTGAAGGGAAAATCTGGGTTTTTTTCTTGACGTTTTTCATTTCTGATTTGATTTCTCTATTCTTGTGTGATTTCAAAAAGGTCAAGAAGATTACAGCAGATTAAGGCCACTGAGTTACAGAGGTGCAGACATATTTGTCTTGGCTTTTTCATTAATTAGCAGAGCAAGCTACGAAAATGTTCTCAAGAAGGTGACTTTTCCCCTGTTCTTTAAGAAGAAAGAAAATGTCCTTTTAAATGTCTTTTTAAGATCATGTTTGAGAAAAGGTGGATTTTTTTTTACAGTGGATGCCAGAACTACGTCGGTTTGCACCAAATGTACCAATAGTCCTGGTTGGAACGAAGCTAGGTAGGCTATAATTCGAGAACATATTCATTTAATGTATTGTAAATGAGATTAAAAAATGCTATGTTTTCCTGTATGAATCAGACCTTCGGGAAGATCGAGCATATCTTGCTGATCAAATGGGGTCTTGCATTATAACATCTGCTCAGGTATGCTCTTTCGCATCAGCTTTATTCTGTGCCATTTTACCATTGCGGTTTCTCCTCCGTGGCAACCGAAAACGTGTCCATGATCGGCTTTAACATAGCTTTGTTCGGAGCAAATGGTTACGCAGGGAGAAGAACTGAGGAAACAGATTGGTGCAGCGGCTTATATCGAATGCAGCTCCAAGACCCAGCAGGTGAATCTGATATCATTTATGATCATGGCTTGTAAATATACTTCCTATCCTAACGGGCATACTAACTCGATCTTTGTCGACATGTTGGATCAGAATGTGAAAGCCGTTTTCGATACTGCAATCAAGGTTGTTCTTCAACCTCCGAGGAGGAAGGAGGTGGCGAGGAAGAAACGGCGCCACCGGAGATCCGGCTGCTCCATTAGGTAAGTGCAGTTGATTTGCACTCTTATTCGCGTATGTATCGGACATGTTTGGTTATCTAATCGTAGAAACAATAGTAAATCATTTGCGATCTATTTGCAGGAGTTTGATCTGCGGAGGATATGAAGCTTAAATTCGAACATGGAAGAATGATAGAGGGAATCGAGTATTTATTGCTTTAATTCTGTTTTTGTGTGTTCTGCTGAAATATAACTCTAATAGGGAATTGGATTATCTTCAAGAGCTATGTAGGCTCTCATTTTGTTATTTTGCTGCTTAAAATATTACTATCAATATTTTTTTATTAATATTATATTTATCGTTTAATATTATTTCTAAAATATATTATCTAAAATGTATTATTTTCATGGTTATCTTGCTTCCAAGTTCTTTATGAGCTAAAAAAAATATTATTGTTGGGTGAATTTTTAACTCTAAATAATTTTTAAATAACATAACTAGAGATGATTACGGATTGAGTAGGATTGTATTTTTGATATACTCAAATCCGATTTAATAATTAAATTCCTCTAATTGATTCGATTAGAATTGACTCCATTTTTGGGTTAAAATTGTGTCTAACTCGACATATATAATTAATTTTTATTAGGTAAAATAAAGAATTAATTTAAAAAATATAAAAATAAAATATTATAATTATTTTTAAATATATAAGAAATAATTATAATATTATATATATCAAATTAATTTTTTTTACTTTAATCTCAAATTTCGTATGGCGCAATCCTACCTTCAAAATAATTTGACAAAAATCTAAATTTTTAAAAATGAAATACTTTATAAATCCATTTATTATAATAATAATTTTTTGATGCATTTATATAATAAATTTATATATAATTAATTTGATTAATTTAATCTTTGTATTAGTTACAATTTATAATTCAGTAAAATTTTGACCTTCCCGGTGCTTCCAACAGAAACTTTGCGTTTAATCTGATCTGATGCTCACAAACTGACCACAGTCACTCCTATGAATTTCATCCGTCAGATTAATTCTTCAACGCGAACCGTCGGATCCAAAAGCTAGTTCCAATCTCACCATTCAATAAAAACACAAAAAAATAAAAAAAATATATATGAAATTTCAAAACTTAACAAGAGAGAGGGAGGAGAGAACCGAAGACGACGACGAAGAAGAAGAAACACCAACAAATTTCAACAATTGAAATTTCTCCTTTTTCTTTCATTGTTTTCAATATCGAATGCTTTAAAAAAACTTTAGCTTTTCTCTTTACCTCTCTCTATGCGTCGACCGGAATGAAAATCTTCTTTGTTTCTTCCAACTTCGTGGTGGAAATCTCGAGCTTGGAGAAATTTGGTGTTCTCTTCTGGAATTTTAGGTCTTGGAGATTGTGAATTGGGATTTGGATCTAAAAGTGATTCAATTCGAGTTTATTTAAGGCAATTTGTGAGATTATTCGGTTGATTTTCAGCTGTGGCTGTGTAGGTGGATTGAGAAAAAAAGATTTGAATTTATTTTTTCTTAAATTTGAGGGAGCTGGAATTGGATGGGGGAAGGAGAAGGAAGTGAGTTCCCGCCAAAAAAGGTGCAATCCGATACGGCAGATTTTCCGGCGAGGAAGCTTGCAAGGCAGCTGGATTTCACGGCCGGTTTAGGTGGGGTTTCTTCTGCTGGTGTAGTTTTGCCGGAACACCCGCAATTGACACAAGAAATGGCTTTGGCTCCGCCTTCGGCATTGGCGGCTGCTACAGTTACTCGGCAACAGCAGCAACAGATAAAGCCACCGCAGGTGGTGGCAACCTCCCCTCTGGCCACTTTGCAACCTCTTACTACAGCATCGTCGAGGGTTCTGTAAGTTCTAGCAATAAAAAAATTGTATTTTTCCCCTTTCAGTCGGTTATCTTTTGAATCAAACTCTGGAAAATTTGTTTATTTTATGTCATTATTTTAAGATTTTAATATGGAAGTTAGTTACCTGTACTCGAACTTTATTATTTTTCATATTTCTTGCTTTATTCAGAAAACCAGAATCCCCAAAAGTAAAACCAAGAGCAACTGAACTAAAAGATGCCACTCCAAAGAAGCAGAAGCAGTGCAACTGTAAACATTCTCGGTGTCTGAAACTGTAAGTACATTGACTAATATACTCATCTCGTCTGACGTGATTGAGCTGCTTTGCCGTCAATATCTATGCAGCTTTGGAGGCTTTAGTTAGCTTGAAATGTGTAGTTTTGGACCATATAGTCTTGTGATCATAATCTTCAGAATGTCTTTTCTGCCTATATATATTTTTCTATTTAATATGACAGATCCAAATTCATATATTTGATTTTTTTTCTTCTTTAAATTTTTTACAAAAAGAAATATCAAATTAGTTTGGAGACCATAGAAACACTTCCGAAAATGAGTTGGATATAGTAACAGACTTTTCCATGAATAGGGGAGTGTAGTCTTTCGTATGTGGTGTAGTGTTATTTATGTCTATGTTTTAATGGAAATAATACTACAACAGCAACAATAAAGTAAATATCCTTTTTACACTTTGTACCAATATTATCTCGATCTTTCTTCAGGCTGATAAGTTGTACTTAGTAGCTTATAAGTTTGTTATGCATCAGTTTCCAAACCCGTTCAATATAGGTCAGTTTGCCTCAAGCAGCCTCAAATGCAAATAGTGCTAGGCTTAGGGAATATTATCATCTGAACTAATTGCAGTGCAGAAATAGGATGAACACGCCTTTGATTTTAAAAATACACTTCATTTCTGTCCAATTTTGCCATGCTTTAGTATCAGATGGTTCTGTTGAAAGGCTAGCCTTTCCTTCTACTTACGATGACCCTCGTCACTATATGGATCTAAATCTATTTTTCTAGCTCTATGACATACGTATAGATGTTTCCAACAAGCGGATTAGATTCAAAGTCCATGTATGTTCTATATGTTAAGAATCGGGCATGAGAGGAAATAAACAGAAATTGGGTTATGACTTTTATAGCTAGCATTTAGGCAGCTTGCCTGGGCATTTAAGATCATACTTTTTTTTCAATTATTCATTTATTGTGTATGAATTATGATTTTTGTGTAAATACAAGTAAATAATTCATTTTTTATGTTGATTTGATTATAACCCACATGTTAATAATTTAATTCCTTGATCAGGTACTGTGAGTGCTTTGCATCTGGGATATATTGTGATGGGTGCAACTGTGTTAATTGTTATAACAATGTTGAGAATGAAGCTGCGAGAAGAGATGCCATTGAAGCAACTTTGGAGCGTAATCCAAATGCATTCAGGCCAAAAATTGCTAGCAGTCCCCATGGTGCACGGGATAGCAGGGTGTGCTGGCCATTTTTTGTCATTTAATTCACGCTTATGAAATAATGACACCCTTTTGTACAGTATTGATTCAGAAAAAGCCATAATTTTTTTTAATTTAATTTTTACCATCAGGGCACTGGTTTTCTTCTATTGATTGTGAGCTCACTTTTGATTTTAACACATGTATATATCCTTTTTCCTTGATTCTAGATGGTTATTCTTAGAAAATTATCTTATGGGAAAAGGTCCGGGCTGGGTATTTGATATCAAAATATAAAATTCAAAGTACAGCATGAATGCATTTTGATTTTGATATAGCTTGCTGCCATTGACATTTTCATATGGACTAGTTCTGAAATATTTTTAGGAAGATGCTGGGGAAGTTTTAATATCGGGAAAACACAACAAAGGATGCCACTGTAAGAAATCTGGGTGCCTTAAGAAGTACTGTGAGTGTTTCCAAGCCAACATTCTCTGCTCTGAAAACTGCAAATGCGTGGACTGCAAAAACTTTGAGGGTAGTGAAGAGAGGCAGGCTCTTTTTCATGGTGACCATGCCAACAACATGGCATATATTCAGCAGGCCGCAAATGCTGCCATAACTGGAGCTATTGGGTCCTCTGGTTTTGCATCCATTCCAGTATCTAAGAAGAGAAAAGGCCAGGAACTGTTCTTTTGGTCAACTGCCATGGATCCATCTGTTCACAGGCTTGGACACTTTCCGCAGGTAAACATTGTCCATGTGTATTTATTGACATTTGTCTATAAACTTTCTGAATCATATTTCAGTTCCACTTACCTTGAATCTAGCTAATCTTATTTGTCTTAATAAGGAACAAATGTTTGCTCGAACTTTTTTATTCTCATTCTTCTGCTGCTAGTTAACATTTGATTAGTTTACCATAGAATCTCTCATTCTCATAATTACCTTTAGTTTCTGCTTCTAGAATTTGCATTTGCGGCTTATTTTATTTGTGAATCAGGCAACTCAAATCAGAGCTTCTGCACCCTCCTCTTCTGTTCCAGTTTCCCGTTCGGGTACAACTGCTGCAGCTGGCATGTCAAAATTCACATATAGGTAAATGGAATATTTTGATGAAACTATTTATATCCTCTGCTTTTTCAGGGAACTAACTTACGTACTTTGGTGGAAGGTCTTTGTTAGCGGACATCATTCAGAAGCAGGACTTGAAGGAGCTTTGTTCTGTTTTGGTAGTTCTATCTAGAGAAGCTGCAGAGACACTTGCAGGTAAATGAGAATACATGTAAAACAATTTAAATCTCTAGTCTAAACTTACACCGTCTAGTTCGTGGCATACTTATTACTTTAGTTCTTACTTCGTGTGTTTGCATGAGTAAGCATATGGTCACTCGTACTTATTTGCCGAAAACACTGTGAATGTTGTCATGCATGACAATCTACTTATACTTGATTTTCTAATTGAAACAATTTTCATATGGGTCTTCCCTTAAATTCTGTATTCATTTAGATCAGAGAAGTTTGACTGAAAAATGGGCCGAAGATCAGACCGAAACCTCCCTTGCGTTATCCACTCAGGACAGGCTGCAAAGCCATAAAGATTCTGATGCTGAGAAAACCATTGCTGATGATTGTTCAAGTGCAAATCAGGCTGATAGAGCTGGCCGTGAGGATTCCAGCTCAGATGGTGCTGATACGCCAAAGCAAAGGCCTATGTCTCCGGGAACTTTGGCATTGATGTGTGATGAAGAAGATAAAATGTTCGTGGAAGCTCCCTCTAATGGAGTCATGGGCCATGGCTGCAGTACATCTTCTCAAATGACGGAGATTTATGCAGAGCAGGAAATAATTGTTTTGACAAAGTTCCGGGATTGTCTAAATAGGCTTATCACTTTCGGAGAAATAAAAGGCAAGTTCCCCTCTCCCTTCACTGAAAATTCGATTCACATCTAATTATATTTTGCACATCAAAAGGGAAGAAAGTTTCGAACGATGAAATCATCCCAAACTTTCTCTGTAACTCGGAGAGAACCACTTTAGCAAAATTTGTTTACAATCATTTTTTTTTCTGGTGTATTAACTCTTGTTATGCATGAACTATTGGTAATTGACGATGCTGCTCTATTTCAATTACAGAAACAAAATGTTCATCATTAGCTAGAACAGAGATAGGTAGTCAAAGAAGCCTCAGTAATAGAACTGAAGTCAGAAATGAGACTGGGGATCGACAAGGATCTGTTACCAATGAAGTTCCGGAAAATGTTAGTCCACTTACAGTAAAGACATCTCATATGGATGCTACTGTAGTTGCCACTGCTAACAACGATCTTCAACGGCCTCCATCCCTTCCTGAAAACGGGGGTGCTAAATCGGAAAACGAAAAACATATATAAAGAACCAAAATGCTGACTATTTGGCACAAGGTATGATACTCATCTTCACTATTCTACCCTCTCCACCGTCAGATTTGATGCAACACCAAGGTGATTGTGGGAGCTGACAGGTTCTCTGATTAATTTCTACATTATCGATAAACTTATTGGTTTTCCTCCTTTGCCATAGCTTTAGCTCATTACAGTATTTTGGTGTTATTTGCCCATCCATTTTTTCAGGGATTTTTTTATAGCATGGAGTTGCCTCAACCATTAATGTATTTTATTTTTTATTTTTTGAGGTCGTAGTTTAAGAATAAGGAAAGGGTTTCGGATGTCGGATTTAAATCCAAACCCTTTGAATGCAACTTCTGTTAAGAATGTTACATTAACCGACTAAGACAGGAGTTCATGTGTTTCATTGTTTGTATGTAACCTTATTCTTCTGAAATGAAGAAAACTCGATTCTCCTTGTTATTTCCGTGGTGGCATGGTTTTTGTAATCGGTTCGGTTTGTGTCTCCACTTTCATAAATAGTTATGAAGGTGAACTAAAATGTTTATTGTTGTCTCTTCCGATAACATCGGGAGTTCAGATGTAGAGTGAGTCATATCTCTTTCCTGGTGTACGACATGCCTACCATCATTCATTTCCATGAGATGAAACTTGGACCTATCAGCTGATATCCCATCTAGTTTCTCTCTTAGACCTTTAACCTTATGAGTCACATTGAAACTTAATCCGACAGGGCTAGGTCTCGAAAAGAAGCAACATAAGTTTCTTTGAAAGCTCGTGTTCTTCGGGCTGAATTATGTTGTAGTTATGGTGGTTTCGAACTCTTCGAGAATGTATTTAATGTCATAACAAGCATCTTTAAGCTTCCAAAGCCAGTTTTTCTTTCCGCGTCGAGGAACACAGCAATGATTGTAGAGATTGCGGCCTCGAGTTGAAGAGCTCAGTTTTACAACTACATATGGTACAAACAACCTCAGATAGAATGGCTTCTGCCATTGCTCTGCAAATCTGAACCGCTGTTAGAATTCATCTAATTGCGGTCTGAATTTTATTTAATTCGATTTGTCGATTAAATAAATTTAATATTTTTACATTATTATTCTCTTAATTTTTGTCTGCATTTCTAGAATAACATTATATATCCGGTAATGAGTTGAGTAATCTAAAAATCCTATTGTCAAAGATAGTCTATCCAAACTTGGATCTTCCGTAAAAGGAAGGGTCAGGTTTAACTACTAACTAAAGTAACACAAGAGAAGATTAATATATTTAAAGCGCTTCACATGCAAATGGATTGTTTTTAACAAATTTTTTATTACAGTAACAATGCTTTTTATCCAACCACCGTCGTTATTATCTCCGGCTTACAACTTTGCGTTTGATTTCGAAGATGGTGTTGCTTCCGCTGCAATACTCTGCAGAAAAATAAGAATGTCAATACTAAATCTAAACCCCTAAACCTCAAATATTAGACCCTAAATAAGACACGTGAGATTAAGACAAATAAATTTACTAAACTTTACACATTTTGCGTGTCAGTAATTTTTCTATATAACGTGACATATGATCACATTATTTAGTAATATAACCGCACACGTGCATGGAATTGCACAAAAAATTGCGAACCGATAAGAGATTTTAGTTCTTACTAGTGGTAAGCCTTTCATGGCACTTTCTTCCAAATATTTCGATGGTCGGCCCGACTGTATCTGCACAGAACATGATACCTCCGCTGCAACCGAAAGCGATTGTTTACGTGGGATGAGGAAATTAAACCGAATGTGACAGGTTTGTGCGAAAGTAAGTTCATTAGAGACTATTCTAGAGTTCGTGTTGAAGAGACTAAAAATTGTTAGTTACCGATAAGATGGGAAGCTCATTCCTAGTACAGATGCAACATCGAGGTCTGATGCTCGAGCAATGACACCCTCGTCCAAAACACGATATGCCTCGTTAATCGTTGGAAACAGTACCATCTCGGTAATTTCTTTGTCGGTAACTGATATAGGGAAGATATAGTGTGTCTTTTGTTCTTAACTTGCTCCCCTTTTTGTGAATATAAAATCCTTTCCCATTGCTTTCGCCTAAAACACCATAAAAAAACACCAATGATTAGAAATGCTAGACAAGAGAAAAGTATTAGAAACATGAACTGGAAGCAGGATCGAAATCCCGTTTTACCATTTCGTCCATCTTTCAACATAAGATCAGTCAGTGGAGACGTGAATATTCGATCAGGATATGCAATTTCGTATTGTTTCAGAGTTGCATTTTCTATTCTATATCCACCCAAGTCCTGAAGCCTGCAAGTATTGCAATTGAAATCATATATTATCACCATCCATTCTGAAGGCTTTTCTAAATGGATTGATTTGAAATAGAGCTTCCTAAGTAATCATGTATGATAACATATAAATCTACGCATGTGGTAGCAAATGGATTTGTACAATTTGATGTCGCTATTATCATGACAAAATCATCAATTCCATTTCGATTTGGACTTTTATGTAGTGTTTACTTCCATTTTACCCATTTTCTATCTCATAAAAGAGATCATCTATGAATTATGAAACAATACACATATCAAGCTCGAAAGTCATATAGAATACTTTGGGATTAGGAAGAAAACATACCGGAATGGACCCAAAGGAAAGCCAAAGTTCCTGATCGCTCTGTCAACTCTGAACAAGTCCACACCAAGATGCACCAAAAGTTGTGGAGCTTGCATGTATGGGAAGAATGTTCGATTAACAGCAAAGCCGGTGCAGTTACGTACCACAATGGGAACTTTCTTTATTATTTTCCCAACTGTTAAGAGATCAAGAATAACTTGTGGTGAAGTTTTATCAGTTCGTATAATCTCCAGGAGAGGCGTTATATTAGCAGGATTGTTCATCCGAGAAGCATAAAAAACAAGCCATTCAGATAAACAAAGTGGTCAAATTTTCGACATTAAAAGGACATTTTAGTGTGAATCCAACAAAATTCAGTTCATTTCAGTCAATAGCAGCATATGTTTCCTCTAAACCAGATGACAGTTTATGTAAGGCAAACCAGAGAGAAATTCATGTTAAAACGATTCATTTATGTAATACATAAGTCGAATTATTATGATGGTAAAAATAAATACCTCAGCATAAAACAAGACAAGTTTCGTAACCTGAAAAAATGAGCCCCAATGATACGATTTTGTGAGTTGGTCTTTTCTCCATTTACGTTAAGGTCAATGGTGGATGTATTTGTAGCCAAAATGCAGCAAGAAGAGCAGACCTTCTCGAGCTCCCTAAATATATCTTGTTTCAATGGAACGTCCTCAATAACTGCCTGCAAGAAGAATAAAAGAAGTAAACAGCATCAAATTGATAGTTGGGTACAAATGCACCTGATATTCTTTAAATTCTCTGATATCATAAAAAACCAAATTTACCAAGTAAAAAATTGATGCATAAAAAAATTGCAGAGATAAAACATTAATTAGTTCATCTTTATTCTAACTCAAATTTCTGGACTGATCATGTTATGTAAAAAGATAGATGGTGCCAGGTTGTTTATGCTACTTGTTGAAAGTATTGTTAAGTTCAAAGTTTGGTAAATATTTTTTTGAAAAATAATTTTTCAAAGTTTGATAGGTGTTTGTTGAAAAATGATAATGGAATAATCACAATTAATCCCTAGACTTTAGGGTATTTACAAGATTAAGTCCTTAAGCTTCAACTATAAATACCCTAGCTCATTTAGCTTCAAAACCATCCCAAAAAAATCATTTTCTTTCTCCCAATACTAGAGAGCTTTCTTGTGAGTAGTGAGTGTTTTGTAAACACCTGTAAATTTTCTCTCTTAGTAAAAGATCTGCAGCAGTCCGGAGACGTAAGCAAAATTGGCTGAACTCTGTTATCAATTTTGGGTATTATTTTTTCGCTTTTATTTTGCATTCTCACTAATCTGGTTATAGGGAAATTACTCATACTCGGTTTATTTACTAACAACTGGTAATTAGAGCTTTTGGTTGTGAATTTTGTCAATTTTTGCGAGGTTACTATTCATTACTATTCACGTGAATAGTACAATTTTGTCGGCGATACGAATTTATCGACGGAGGTGTTCTAATACACGGCGGTTCGCGAAAATTGTCAGAACGATCCAAAGAAGCCATATTCGAGTGGGAGCGATGGCTGCAGACGAAGGGATTGTGAAAATTGAAAAGTTCGATGGTGCGGACTTTGGCTTTTGGAAGATGCAGATTGAAGATTTTCTGTACCAGAAAAATCTATATCAACCTCTCTCAGGAAAGCAACCGGAGGGCATGAAGAATGAAGACTAAGCTCTTCTCGACAGACAAGCCCTCGGAGTTATCCGACTGACGTTATCCCGCAATGTTGCTTTCAACATAGCAAAGGAAAAGACCACGACGGGTCTTATGGTGGCTCTCTCCAGTATGTATGAGAAGCTATCGGACTCAAACAAAGTTCATTTGATGAAGCGATTGTTCAATTTGCGGATGACAGAAGGGGCATCAGTGGCTCAAAACCTAAATAAACTCAACACAATCATAACCCAGTTGAGTTCCGTAGAAATTGAATTCGATGATGAAGTTCGAGCTTTAATTCTCTTATTATCTCTACCAGATAGTTGGAATGCTACTGTTACAGCAGTTAGCAGCACGTCGGGAAATAGTAAATTGAAATTCGACGATGTTCGGGATCTGGTACTAAGCGAAGAAATTCGACGGAGAGAATCGGGTGAAGCATCAACCTCCTCAGCATTTCACACGGAGTCCAGAGGGAGAACTTCAGAAAGGAATTCAAATCGTGGCAGATCCAAATCCATAAGGGGAAAATCAAGAATAGGAAAGAAAGATTTTTCTTGTTATAACTGCGGCAAGAAGGGTCACTTTAAAAAGGATTGTCGAGGACCGAAGAAAAAAATCGGCGCACAGGAATATGCCAACGTGACAGAGGATACAAGTGATGTCATGATTCTAATTAAGCATCAATAGTCCGATTGAATCATGGATTTTGGATTCAGGAGCATCTTTCCACTCCACCCCTTGTCGAGAAATCATGGAGAACTATGTCAGCGGTGATTTTGGGAAGGTTCATCTAGCTGATGATGAAACCTTGAAGATCGTCAGAAAAGGAGACATCCGATTAAAGTTGTCAAACCAGACCACCTGGACGCTAAAAGGAGTAAGACATATTCCTGGCCTCAAAAGAAATTTGATTTCTGTAGAACAGCTTGATGGAGAAGGATATAGCACAACTTTTTCAGACTGTGAATGGAAGATTACCAAAGGAGCACTCGTCATTGCTCGTAGTAAGAAGACTGATACTCTCTATGTAACCTCAAATTTAGGTAATATCATTGCAGTAGCAGATGCTGATGGAAATTCAAACCTATGACACCAAAGGCTTGGCCATATGAGCGAGAAATGGATGAAGACACTTTTGTCAAAAGGGAAGCTGTCAGATCTAAAGAGTGTAGATGTCAGACTATGCAAGGATTGTATCTTTGGCAAACAAAAGAAAGTCAGTTTTGCAAAGACTGGCAAGACACCCAAGGTAGAAAAGTTAAAGTTGGTTCATACTGATGTATGGGGACCATCTCTAGTTCCATCTCTTGCAGGCTCATTATATTATGTCACCTTCATCGATGATTCTACAAGGAAGATGTGGGTTTATTTTCTGAAGAAGAAATCAGAAGTCTTTGATACCTTCAGAAAATGGAAGGTCATGGTGGAAAATGAGACTGGTTTGAAAGTCAAGCGATTGAGGTCTGACAATGGAGGAGATTACAAAAATAGAAGATTCAGAGATTTCTGCGCAAACAATGAGATCAAGATGGAGACAACAGTTCCCATAACACCGCAACAGAATAGCGTAGCAGAGCGCATGAACAGAACTCTGAATGAACGTGCCAGAAGCATGAGGATACATACTGGATTACCCAAATTTCTATGGGCTGAAACTATCAACACTGCAACTTACCTAATCAACCGTGGGCCCTCAGTTCCCATGTATGGTGGAATACCAGAGGAAATTTGGAGCAAGAAAGAAAACCTTTCACACTTAAGAGTGTTTGGTTGTATTTCTTATGCACACATAGACTCTGCTGAAAAAAGTAAACTTGATGCTAAGTCCAACAAATGTGCCTTTGTTGGTTATGGTGGTGATGAGTTCGGTTACCGATTTTGGGACTACTAAAATCGGAAGATCATCAGAAGCAGAGATGCCATTTTCAATGAGAATGTGATGTACAAAGACATGTCAACCATAGAATCAAGTAGCTCAAATATCGAAGCTGAAACAAAGGAATTTGCTGAGTTCGATGAGATTTCTTGAAATGATGTTCAGATCAGTCCTGAAGCAGTTCAAGAAGAACCAGACACACCAGAACTAAGACGCTCCTCTAGAATTCCTAAACCAACCCAACGTTATTCACCTTCTTTACACTACTTGTTGCTGAATGACAATGGTGAACCAGAGTGCTATGATGAAGCAATGCAGGTGGAGGATTCAATCAAGTGGGAGTTTTCCATGAAATATGAGATGAACTCGCTTATGTCAAATCAGATGTGGGAATTAGCTGAATTACCACCAGACAAGAAAACGCTCCATAACAAGTGGATTTACATGATCAAAGAAGAGCACGATGGGAGCAAACGCTACAAAGCAAGATTGATTATCAAAGGCTTTCAGCAAAAAGAAAGTATTAACTACAATGAAATTTTCTCTCTAGTCGTAAAATTGTCTACAATCAGACTGGTGTTGAAAATTGTAGCTGTAGAGAATTTACATCTTGAGCAGTTAGATGTAAAGACAACTTTCATTCATGGTGATTTTGAGGAAGAAATCTATATGAGACAACCAGAAGGCTTCATAGAGGCAGGCAAGAAAAACCTGATATATAGGTTGAAGAAGAGCTTGTATGGTTTAAAACAAGCTCCTAGACAGTGGTACAAGAAGTTCGATAACTTCATGAGTAGCTGTAGTTTTACCAGATGCCAAGCAGATCATTATTGCTACATCAAAAGATTCGACAACAACTTCATTATTTTATTGTTGTATGTTGATGACATGCTCATTACAGGCTCAGACATGCAAGATATCATAAACTTGAAGAAAAAATTGTCGAAGTAGTTTGCTATGAAAGATCTGAGCGCTGCAAAGCAGATTCTTGGAATGAGGATCAAGAGAGACACAAAGTCGGGGACTTTGATATTATCACAGGCTGATTACATCAACAAAATACTCTCCAGGTTCAACATGCAATATGCTAAACCAGTAAGTACACCTTTAGGTGTTCATTTTAGACTCTGCAAAGAACAAGCACCAAAGACGGAGGAAGAACGTGCACACATGGTGAAGGTGTCATATGCCTCAGCAATTAGAAGTCTGATGTATGTCATGGTTTGTACCAGACCAGATATTGCTGAAGCAGTGGGAGCTGTTAGCAGGTACATGAATAATCTGGGCAAAGTACACTAGGAAGCTGTCAAATGGATCCTCAGATATCTGCGGGGTACTACAAACAAAGCACTTTGTTTCAAAGGTGGAGATACAATATTGACAGGCTATGTAGATGTTGACTTAGCTGGAAATATTGACATCAGAATGAGCACTACAAGGTATATCTATATTCTAGGAGGTACTACAGTGAGTTGGGTTTCTCAACTACAAAAGATAGTTGCTCTCTCCACAACTGAAGCAGAATATGTTGCTGTTACGGAAGCCAGCAAGGAGATGGTTTGACTCCAAAGTTTCTTGGAAGAGTTAGGCAAGAAACAAGAAAACAATGTCTTGTATTGTGATAGTCAAAGTGCTATTCATCTAGCAAAGAATCCGTCTTTTCGTTCCAGGACAAAGCACATACAATTGAGATATCATTTTATCCGGTCTCTGCTGGAAGATGGGATTTTGAAGCTTGAAAAGATTAGTGGAGCTCAAAATCCGACAGACATGTTGACAAAGACGGTGACCACTGATAAACTGAAGTTGTGTTCAACATTAATTGACATGCTAGAATAACAGGACCAGAAATGTTGCTGCATTGATCGAGGTGTGAAGACAGATTAAAATCAGTCTTCAAGTGGGAGATTGTTAATAGTATTATTAAGTTCAAAGTTTGGCAACCAACTTTGAAAAAATGATTTTCAAAGTTTAGTAAATGTTTCTTTGAAAAATAATTTTTCAAAGTTTGGTAGATGTTTGTTGAAAAATGATAATGGAATAATCACAATTAATCCCTAGACTTTAGGGTATTTACAAGATTAAGTCCTTAAGCTTCAACTATAAATACCCTAACTCATTTAACTTCAAAATCATCCCAAAAAAATCATTTTCTTTCTCCCAATACTAGAGATATTTCTTGTGAGTAGTGAGTGTTTTGTAAACACCTGTAGTGAGTGTTTTCTCTCTTAGTAAAAGATCTGTAGCAGTCCGGAGACGTAAGCAAAATTGGCTGAAATCCATTATCAATTTTGGGTATTATTTTTTCGTTTTTATTTTACATTCTCCCTAATCTGATTATAAGGAAATTACTCGTATTTTGTTTATTTCCCAACGCTACTTGTAAAGCTAAATCCTATGTGGATTGGCTTGCAGCTTGTTGGAAATGCTAGAGGACATCACTTATGTTTTTCCTATTCACAATCTTCTTCCTGATAGCTTGAATACTCTGGTAAAAATGGCATCATGGGAAAGCAAATACCTAGTTTCAAATTGGAGTGAAATACACCCCTTCTATATACTCGAGTAAGAACAGAAAATCCCAATGTTGCTTGGACTCGGGTATAACTGTTGGGTACGAGCATTTGGGTAACAAGCTTGCTAGAAGATCTTGGAGCTGCACCAGGTGGAGCTATAGTGCTTATTCATGCCTGTGCTCATAACCCAACAGGTGTTGATCCAACTGTTGAACAGTGGGAGCAGATCCGGCAGTTGATAAGATCCAAAGGGCTATTGCCTTTCTTTGACAGTGCTTATCAGGTAATTGTCTGTTGTTATAATTTTCTGAGGTTATAGAATGGTTATTTTACAAACACTTGAATTTTGACATTCAGGGATTTGCAAGTGGTAGTTTAGATGCAGATGCACAACCTGTCCGTATGTTTGATGCAGATGCACAACCTGTCCGCATGTTTGATGCAGATGGTGGGGAATGCTTCATAGCTCAAAGTTACGCTAAAAACATGGGACTTTATGGGGAGCGTATTGGTGCTCTCAACATTGTAAGATGCTAGACTTAAAAATATTTTGAGTAAATTTCTTTCACATGACTATGGCTTCTTTCACGGGATAATAATAATGATAATAATTGTTGATAAATCGGGCAAAGTAAACGAAAGAACACAAGAATTTTAACGAGGTTCGGCAATGTGCTTACGTCCTCGGTACCTAAGCGGTGCTAAAAAAATTTTATTCAATGATAATAGGTTTAGGTTACATCTCTATTTATAATAGAAAACCCTGGTACATAATTACAAAATTAACCCTGTATCGTACCGCAAGGGCACAGCCCCCGCACCCCCAACCCACATAATCGTAACCCCCTCTACAAGACTTTCTTTGTAAGGACAGTTGATGTTCGCTTTGGTCACTCTGCTCCATCCCCTGTCCTCTTTACCGGTATATTTATGAGCCATACCTTACAAATCTCCACCTTGGCGAATATCCTGCCCCTTAGGAAACATTCAACGTGGATTGGGTTGCCTTACTTCTTTAACAACTTGAAAAAATTCAACAAGTCCAAGCAATGCTTGAACTTGTCTGTTGTAACTGGCTTGGTGAACATATCAGCGGCATTCTCATCAGTGTGTACCTTTTGAAACAAAATCTCTCCAGATGCAACCAACTCTCTGATCTTGTGAAAACGTACATCAATGTATTTAGTTCTATCACGATATACCTGATTCTTAGCTAAGTTAATAGCACTTTGATTGTTGCAGAGCAGATGAACACCCAACTCCTTCACTAAACCAGTGAGCCATAAAGCTTCTTTTGCAGCTTCAGCCGCTGCCATGTACTCAGCTTCAGTTGTAGATAGTGCCACAACAGATTGAACAGTAGACTTCCAACAAATAGCTTCTATTATCTCGTTGACTACCAAAAACAATTCCATGTCCCATAGTACCCTTTAAGTACCGAAAGATCCACTTGACTGCTTCCCAATGTTGCTTACTAGGTTTAGACATGTACTTACAAACTTGACTAACAGCATGAGCCAAATCAGGACGAGTACATACCATTGCATACATCAAGCAGCCAACAGCATTAGAATACGGAACCTTTGCCATATCTTCAGCTTCCTTATCTGTCTTAGGGCACTGTTCTGATGAGAGCTTAAAGTGGTTCGCCAATGGAGTGCTAACTGGTTTTGCGCTGCTCATCGCAAACCTTTCTAGCATTTTTTTTAACATAACCCCATTGAGATAGCCACAGTTTCCTTGAGTCTTTGTCCCTGCAAATTTCCATTCCAAGAATTTTCTTTGCAGCACCTAAATCTTTCATATCAAATTCCTGACTCAATAAAGTTTTCAAACCGATAACATCATCCATGTTCTTCGCAGCAATCAACATATCATCAACATACAGTAATAGAAAAATAAAAGAACCATCATCAAGGCTCTTAACATAGACACAACAATCATACTCACATTGGTTGTAGCCAATCTTGATCATATATTAGTCAAACCGTTTATACCACTGTCTCGGAGACTGTTTCAACCCGTACAAAGATTTCTTCAATCTGTAAACTAAATGCTCGTTTCCAAGTTGAGTGAAACCTTCAGGTTGCCGCATGTAGATCTGCTCCTCTAAATCACCATGCAAAAAAGAAGTTTTAACATCCATATGCTCTAAATACAAATCCCAACTGGCCACCAATGCAAGTACTGCTCGGATTAAAGTGTGTCTAACCACAGGAGAAAAGATTTCATCATAATCAACTCCTTTCTGCTGTGAAAAACCCTTTGCTACCAAACGAGCCTTGAATTTCTCCCCCTCTTTTTCTGTTACTACTGGTTTCTTCTTATACACCCATTTGTAACCAATCGGCTTTTTACCCTCAGGAAGGGGAACCAACTCCCATGTACGATTGTGATTCAAAGACTCCATCTCCTCAACCATGGATGCCATCCACTTGTCGTTTTCCTGACTAGTAACAACATCATGAAAAGTAACTGGATCATCACTGCTAACAATAAGTGCAAAAGAGACCAAGTCTTCAAAACCCAATCTACTCGGAGGCTTTATATTCGTCCGTCTCACCCTGTCTCTGGCGAGACTATAATCCTATAAATCATCCGTAGTGGAACCACCAGAAGTCGGTTGAGACGTTTCTGGTTTCTCAACTGGAAACTGCTCGAAATCCACCACTGTCGTGTCTTTCTTCTGTTGCAACATGGATTGTTCATCAAAAACAACATCTCTACTGATCACAATTTTCTTCGCAACTGGATCCCAGAACTTGAATCCTTTGACACCTTTCTTGTAACCCAGAAAAATACACTCCTTCAATTTTGCATCAAGTTTGGATCTCTCATCAGCAGGTACATGCACATAACTAGAACAACCAAAAATCCGTAAGTTATCAAAACTAACATCATGACCAGTCCATACCTCTTCTGCAACTTTCCCAGCCAATGATGCCCTTGGCGATCTGTTGATAAGATAACAACATCTGGCTCTTTTATTCAACGACCTGTTCATCCGTTCCGCAACACCATTCTGTTGTGGTGTCTTGCGCACTGTAAAATGTCTCTTAATCCCGTGGTCCTTACAGAAGTGTAAGAACTGTGAATCTGTGTACTCCGTACCCTTGTCAGACCGCAAACACTTGATTTTACGTCCTGTTTGGTTTTCTACCTCTCTTTTCCACAGCTTGAACTTCTCAAAAACTTCAGATTTATGTTTCAAAAAATAAACCCAAACTTTCCGTGAAAAATCATCAATAAAAGTAACATAATACCTAGATACACCCAAAGACGATGTCGTGGAAGGCCCCCATACATCAGAATGCACATAATCAAGAATCTCTTGAGTTGTGTGCTTCGCAGTCTTGAAACGGACTTTAGTTTGTTTACCAAGAACACAATACTTGCAAAAATCGAGCTTACAGCTTTTGGCACCATGCAACAGATTTCTTTTGTGTAATTCTGTCATACCACGTTCACTAAGATGAGCAAGACGCATATGCCACAGTTTTGTAGTATCATCACAGGATTCAACAGAATGAACTCCACCTGCAACGGTACTCCCTAACAATCTATAAATATTTCCTGCAATTATCTTTACTTTCATCACAGTTAAAGCACCTTTAACAATCCGAATGGTTTCCCTATCCTCATCAGCCTTAGGGATAAAACCATTCTTGTGCTAAGTGCCCAAAGAAATCAAATTCTTCTTCAAATCTGGGATATGTCGAACACCACTCAACGTCCGAACAGAGCCATCATACATCTTAATTTTGACATCACCAATACCAACAATATTGCAACATCGATCATCACCCAAATAAACAGAACCAGAATTAACCGACCTGTATGTCGAAAACCATTCCCTATTTGGCGTGATGTGATAAGAACATCCATAATCAAGAATCCACGCATCCGTCAATTGAGTCGTTGAAATAGAAAGCATATCACCCTCACTGCAATTAGAATTGTCATCCTCGACCACGTTCACAGACTTGGATGAAACATCACGCTTCTCATCAGTCTGCTTTTTCAACTTCGGACAGTCTTGCTTCATATACCATTCCTCCTTGCACTTGTAACAGTGAATTGTCTTCTTATCCCTAGATTTGGATCTGGAATTCCGTTTGCCAGACCCTGCCTTCTCTGGCTTCCGTCTACGGTCTCGATTACCCATGACATATAAGCTATCGGCTTGAGAGTTTTCCCCTGCATTCTGCTTCCGTTGGTTGTGAGCCAACAAGGCTGCAGTAATCTCCTCAACATTGATAGTCTCTTTCCCATATGTAAGAGTAGTCACCATGTGTTCGTAAGAGGGAGGCAACGAACACAACAAAATCATCGCTCTGTCTTCATCCTCAATTTTTACATCAAGCCGAGCCAAATCAGAAACGATTTGATTGAATACATTCACGTGTTGCGCCAAATCATGATCGTCCTGCATCTTCAGCCCATATAGCCGCTGCTTTAGATACATTTTTTTCGTTAAGGATTTGGACATAAATTGACTTTCCAACTTCCTCCAAATTTCGTCTGGAGACGATAGATGCATGACGTGATACATAACCTCGTCCGCCAAGCATAATCGTATGGTTCCTGCCGCTCGTTGTTGCAATTCTTCCCAATCTTCCTCCTCCATCGACGCCGGCTTTGTAGGTCGCAAAGCCTTCAGGATCCCCTGATGCGCCAACAGATCCTTCACCCTCGTTTGCCATAATCCGAAGTTACTCAAACCATCGAATTTCGTAACTTTGAATTTTGCTCCTGACATCTGATACCAATTGTTGATAAATCGGGCAAAGTAAACGAAAGAACACAAGAATTTTAACGAGGTTCGGCAATGTGCTTACGTCCTTGGTGCCTAGGCGGCGCTAGAAAATTTTTATTCAATGATAATAGGTTTAGGTTACATCTCTATTTATAATAGAAAACCCTAGTGCCTATGTCCTCTTTACCGGTATATTTATGAGCCATACCTTACAATAATAATAATTTTATAGGTCTGTAAGGCAGCTGATGTTGCAAGCAGAGTTGAGAGCCAGTTGAAGCTTGTGATTAGGCCTATGTATTCCAATCCACCACTTCATGGTGCCTCAACTGCATCCACTATCCTGAAAAATAGGTAGGTTCCTTCTTTGTGTATCCAAACTACCTGTATTTTAGAATGTTTCTGACGACAGAGAAACTAGCAACATTGCTAAAATTTCAGAAAATAGAATGATGGAAATGGCTTGTCTTAAGATTGAAGAAAATTGAATCTTAGGATTCTATAGAGAATTTCATTACTTCCCATGCCAAAGTGATATTAATCAGGGAAGGATAACATTTATCGTCAGTTTGGGTGTAATTTTTCATCTATGATTTTTTTTTGTTAGACTTTGAGCGAGGTAATCACTCAAATGAAGTGAATTCATTTGACTTCATATTTTTGTTTTAATTCTATTTTATTTTGCAGTGATATGTATAATGAGTGGAGGGTTGAATTGAAAGCAATGGCAGACAGAATTATTAGCATGTGGAAACAACTATTTGATGCTTTAACAGCTAAAGGTTTTGCTTGATCCTTTCTTTCAATGGTCTATACGTATCTGATATCTCTACCCTTCTTTGTTTACATGTAGGCTTGAGCTAAGTTTAGTATGTACGAGTCGGTAAACATTTGTTGTTCAAGTCAATAAACAAAGAGCCCTGTAGTTGTTCCTGGGCTTTGGACTCTGCTGACCTTTATATATTATTGACAAGAAGTTTTTGCGTCCCTTTCTAGTATTCTTTACTGTGTATGAATCCTTTGGTGTATTCCATAAAATCAGAAACTAAACATGTTTACTTTCACAGGTGACTGTAGTCACATTACCAAGCAGATTGGAATGTTTACTTTCACAGGATTGAACAGTGATCAAGTTGCCTTCATGACCAAAGAGTACCACATTTACATGACATCTGATGGGTAAACAGATCTATTCCTTTTTTTCTTTGAACCATTTTTATTGAAGTTGGGGATGTCTAGATGGTTGTATGCGTAGGATTTTGTTTCTAGGTCAGAAAATCATTTCTCCTCCCATTACTCTTGCATGAGTCATGATAAGATCATACACGCTAATGTGATGACTGATGAATGTGAATATCATTGAAACTTTTTCATCGACACGAAGAGAGCTTCTTTACTGCTATGATGAAGTTGTTCCTATTTTAATTTACTTGGTTTTGCATTGCTAAGTATTCTCTTCCTCCAATTCTACTTACTCTTCACTTCCGATGATCCTATGCGCACCCCACACACCATGTCAACTGTATCCCCTGAACCTGAACTTTGTTTGCATTGTGGATGATACTGCTATTTTACATGTACCTATAGAAATGGGGGGTTCCGGAGTCTGAATATTCTACGAACCACAATTCCGTTACCTACTAATACCAATTTGCAACAAGCTAAATAATGTTCATTATCTCTTTCTTTCTTTTTTGCTGGAGGATTAGTATGGCAGGTCTTAGCTTCAATACTGTCCCGCATCTTGCCGATACCATACATGCTGCAGTCACCCGTTCCTCTTAGGAAGCAAAGCTTCAAAGTATGCACCCAACTCTACCAAGTACCTTTTGGCTTTTAGCCCCATCTATGACATGACACGGCCTTTAACAAATAATCAGAATTATTAATACATTATTTATGTGTATAATTGTTGACACTTGACACGATATCATTTTATCTTATATGTTGTATTGATGAATTATTTTAAAAATAAAAATATCTTCTATTTATTATTTAATTCTAAATATTTGATTAATAAATGAATTTTTATTTTTAAATATTGTATTATCGTGGTATATAAAATAAAGTAATATTCTCTCGCTAATTACGTAGAGCAATTTGAAGGACAAAAAGTGTAATTAATGCCAAATTAATCACATATACCATATTAGAAAAATAACAATAAATATAGATATCAAATTGCGTAGTTTGTACTAGATCTTTTGGGTCTTCAACCAAAATTGGGTCGGGCATGAAAAATAATTTTATTATTTGAAAATACTAAAAATATGTTTTTATATTTTATAATAAAATTAAATAGAGATGAGGTGAGTAACAATTTGATCTATCAAGGTTATTGCCCCCATTGGAATCTTGCAAGGGGCTGAATTATTATTATTATTATATACATAAAATTAAGTTTTCTATCTATGTTTGCTCCTTTCCTTTCCCTTCCCCTAGTAAATGTAACAGTGAATATCCATCAATCTCGACCATGGGGGTACTTCTTTACGCATTTAAGTTCTCAATCCTCTCTAGGCAAGAAGCTTTCTTTGGGGTGAAACCGATGCCTATATCAACCTCAGCAGAACTCGATCTAAAAGCATCCATGTTCGACATCTCGAGATCGAGCCAGTGATGATGCTCGAGTAAGCGAATCAGCATGAAGAACGTCCTCTATTCTCGACATCACCGAGTAAGCCAAGCTTTCGAGTACCCTGGAATAGCTCTCCAGGATAGCCAGTCCAACATCCTATTGAAAAAAGTTAGAACAAGTTGATCAAACTCAGAACGCAATGAGGGAGGAGATTAAGATTTAAGAATATGATTTTATAGGTACCCTGTTTTCTTGGATCTTTGATATATCAAGTGTAGATTGTGGAAGTCCGGGAAAATGCTGCTTGAGTATGAGTAAGACGGTCGCCGCCCGCTCTTCGAATAGTTCCCTTTTCCCGACACTAACGCTTGTGCCCCATGAAGAAGACCTTGCATCTTTCTGGATCTTCTTCCTTCTCCAAATAACAACCGAGGCTTCGATCCTGTTCTTAAAGTCGAGAATTTTGTGTTCCGTCGAGAAGTCCATTGATGCGAGGAACTGTATCGGATCAAAGTACTCCACCGTGATGCTGTTATAGATCGAATCACCAAGGGTGTCTCTTCCATTCTGCATCAGACATGTTAGTACCAGAACTGCAGAAAACTATCAACTCCCTTTCATTCCTGTCGCATCGGGAGACTATTCTGCCGGTGCGACATTTAGTTCTTTCCTTTACCTTGGGTAGGGAATCGATGTAGCTTTCTGGGATTTTTATTTCTGATAGGACTTCAGCATTGATGTTCATTGCTGCTTTCAGCACTTGGTTTACAGACTCCTTTTGGTAATGCAGCCATTGTAGTTGCTTTTCCGAAAGTCCGTTTTCGGGAACCTTAACGATCGGATGCCACCATTTGTCTTCCCTTTGGCCGCTTTCCTCCCCATCAACATCATTCTTGGACACATACCAAAACTCCTTTTCTTGTCCAAAGTTGTTGAGAGTCTCCTGTGTCATTGTACAATTTGATCAGCAAAACCAAAGTGTTAAAACCTTTATCATCATTGGCTAAGGATAGAGATACTGACGATGAGCATCGCGTCGAGTTTGTGCAGGCCGGGTATATTCACTAGCATATCGGCTCGATGTCTCGTGACCATAACCTGTCTAGTCGAAACAAATCGTCGGGAGACAATTAAATTCAGTGAAATTAACTCGAGAGATTTTATGAATTGATGTGGCTACCTCCATTTCTGTTCCATCCTTAGATGTCTGTTTTGCAGGAACAAGTTCAACAATGTGATCAGCAACAGATAAGATCCAGTCCATTTCTTTTCTCCACCTTGCTTTCCTTTCTGGAGCCAAGGGCTCTAATCTCCCTTTCTCTCCAAAAATGGATGCTGCAATATAAGTGGCCACCATCAGTTCGTAACTGTCTATGTTCATCGGACTTGGGACGATTAACCGGTGCCGATATTTGTCGTAACACAGGTCTATTCACTTTCCTTTTTCTTACATTCCAATAACCGTATATATATATATATATACATATCAGACATGAATATCTACCTGCTAGATTTGTGACTGCATTTGACAAAGCCAGAGCTGAAGAAACGCCTTTTCCACCTCCTGACATATCTTCACCCAAAAGCAATTTTGCAAACCTTTCCTTCATCATCTCCATATCTGCATCAATGGCAGCTATGCTCAAAATATATGTACAATTTCATGTACCTTATTTATATATATATATAGAAAGATGCTTGAACCTGCACGCATCTCTTCTGGATTTAATGGCTCAGACTGCTCCACATCTTGCTGCTGCACCATTGAATTGTCCTCTTCATTTTTTATGTCAATACCATCGGTCATAGCGGCGGCGGTTGCGCTACCATCTAGGATGAGAATCTGATGGTTGAGCTTCGACGTTTTTGTACCTTTGAAAGACGATGAGCCACGAATGCTGCACTTGCGCGTTATTGTTCAAAGCATATCGTCGGAGTTTTTCGAATTAAGCTTCTTCTTTGTTCATAAGAACAGAAACAAAGAAGAAGAAGGAGAAGAAAATAAAATCAATAGGGTTTCTTTGATGGTGTAGAAGTTGAAGAAATAAAAGGTTCGAGTGGTTGATTATCGTTTACTGTTTTACGACAAGATACAATGAGCGGTCTGCATGTTTTCACAGACATAAATTTGAGGGTCAAATTGTAAAAAAAAAAAAAAAGAAATCAAATGTGAATTATAAACAACAAAGTGATATTGAATGGCTTTGTCTTTGTTGAGGAAAATCAACGTTGCATAATGTACGGGAAAACATACAAGTTTAACTGCTTTAACTAACTTGTCTTCCTTCCCTCTTTGCTCTAATACCATTATCTCTGTCATAAAATAATTTCAAAATTTGTTGAATAATGTCCGCTTTTTTATTATTAATAACTTATATGTGTATATGTTATTTGATACATTATCAGTAAGATGACTATATATCTTTTTAAAAAATTTAATGGTGTAATGACACTTTAACCCCTTAATTTTAATAATTTAATCATTTTAGTCTTTAAATTCTTATTGTGTTCCTTTTGACTGTTGATTTTCTTTTTCAAATATACTTAAATATGTTATCATATAATTAAAAAATTGAAAAAATATTAATTTTTCCTTGTTGAAATGTTGATATCAACTATTTTTATTTTTCTGATTTTTTTCATAAAGTAAAATAAGGATTAAATAGCTGGTGGTAATTAATAGTTTAATAAAGATAAAATAATATTATTATTTCATCATATTTGAGCTCATTTGGAAAAAAATTAAGGGAGAAAATATAATCAATTAAGTCTTTGAACTAAAAAATTGAATCAATTAAGTATTTTGATCAATTTTGATCGTTAATTTTTAATATTTTTGAGATATTACTATCATATGATACGTTATGGTTTAACATGGAATTTATATATTTTTAATGAAAATTCCAAAACATATTAAAAATTCAAAAAATTAATAAACTTATAAAAATATTATTTGACAACATCTTGATGTGATATGATATGCGACACAGATTAATCTAGCAAAAATTATTATATTTTATTGTCGATGTTGATCAAATAAATAAATTACAAAATTATAAAATATGAAAACTTAATTAAATAAAAAAAAGTAAGAGCTTTATTTTTGTTCCAATACTTCAAAAGCTTTCAGCGCCTTTAATTTCTTTTAAGAATAAAAATAATAAGAATTGTTCCTATAAAAAATCATCAATAAAAAAAATATAAAAAAAAATACTTCGCTCGGTTCAACCTTTGAACAATCAGGGAAGTCACATGTGCAATAGTTTAATATATAGCTAAGGAAAGGTGTTACAAGAAACGTTATTATTTTTTTAATATTTTCGATAAAATGCTATCTAAAATATTATTTATTCTACTGAAATATTAATATTAGACGCTACCTAAATTATTTTTTCTACCAAAAATTAGCTAGCGAAATTAACATTTTCGATAAAACAAATAATATTTTAAATAACGCTTTATCAAAAATATTAAAAAAATAATAACATTTATGATATTGTTTTTTTTAACCGTATATTTTATTACCGTACGATTATCATGAACAATCAACTTGTATCAGTTAGTCAAATTTGTCTGCCAGCAAACATTTTTAATTTAGGACCAATTCTGCTCAAACATAATGTCCAAACCTAACAAAATACTCAATTATGTACTACAATTTTGAAATTCATACTATCCTCCAAATGTCAATTACCATCTGCTCCTCTGGTAACCAATCATTTATTTATGCTTAAATGTTATATTGGGTACATACACTTTCATAAAATATTTTATTTGGTTCTTGTTCTTTTGAAATATTTAATGGAGTGTCTATATTTTGATATAATGTTCGATGTCACGCCTTCATTTTAATAAAATGTTTAATATTGTACATAATTTTGACAAATTATCTAATACAATATCCGAACTTATTATTCCATGTATTATTATGATGCTTGCCGTTAATATAATTAGTGTTAAATCTTGCATTAATATCGTTAATGGCACATTAAATATTTTAATAAAAAAAATAGTTGAATCAATTTGATATTGATTTAAGATTTATGATAAGAAAAATTCTAAACACATATTATCTTATAATCACTTCAAATCTCTCAAAAAATTATGATCGATATAATATTAATTATTAATTTATTTGAAAATATCGAATTTATTAACATTGTACCTGAAATATTAATTTGAAGGTATATTGGTCAAAATACTATGGCTCAATTAGGGATGGGCATGGGATTCAATCCCGGTTGGTTTTGACCCGACCCGATCGAGTCATTTTTTTAATATAAAAATTTCGGGTTCAGGTTCGGGTCGGATTGATTTTTTAAAGGTGATGTTTGGGTCCAGTCATACTCGAATTTTGGGTCGGGTCGGATTTTATCTCAAAAATTTGGGTCGGATTCGAGTCGGATGAAAGATATATATTTTTGGGTTGAGTCAGGTCGGGTCGAGTTGACCAAAACCTGACCCATGTCGCTCAATTAGGTTAGGAACTAAATTACAAAAATGTCCAAGAAAATGCCATGTGCATGTGCTCACTGTCCTCTTAAAGGGAGAAGAGTGATGTGAGTGTGAAGACCATTTTTCCCTGATTAAATAATATTTTGATATATACTTGGCTTTTATGAGTTGAATTATTGGCCATGTGAGGAGGACTATGTTCCGATTTTAAGGTCTAATAACATTTTAGATCAACATGAATTCGAATTTAATCAATTTAGTCTATATTCTTTAATTTTGATATTATGTATCTCGTCTTTCAGTATCAAGTTTTGACTCTGCTCTTTTTGCGAAATTCTAATTAAGGGTGTTCAAAATTATTAATTTGATATGTTGAATTCGTCGATTCAATGGTTCCCATAAAAATTACGAGTTTTTTTAATAATATCCAATATCTCCCATCTAAAATACGAATACTCGAATAATGAGTATCTAATATTCATAGATCAAGATACGAGTAATATTTTCTACTATCCAAAAATTTGAGTATCATATCTTCGAATCCTCGAAAATTTAGATACTTGTTAACGAACACATCTCATAAAATCATAGTAACTAAATATTATCGATAAATAATTTAATTAATATCATTTAAGTAATTAAATAATTTTATTAAAAAAAATTAAGAGACTAATGAATAACAACGCATGGCTTAACCAATAACCATGCAATTAAGCCAGCAGAAAAAAGAAGTGGATGGCGAGGATTCAATAGCATTTATGATTGCCACTAAAAAGGAAGTGTATACGTACATAGCAAGACCCCTGTGAATGCATTAATTTGTTCATTGTTTTCAGCTACGATACTTTTTTACCCACCAACTGCAAAAAGACCCTGTTCGAAAAAAAAGTAAATATTGAACATGGTTTTAGTATCGAATCGGTCAACGAATCGGCTGTATTACCGGTTCATTGGTTTAACCGGTTGAATCGGTTGTAAAAATTGGACGACATCATAATTATTTAAAAAATTAAATAAAAATACTAAAAATATTTAATAAAAATAAAAAAAAATTAGGTTGAACCGGTTTACGGTTCGGTCCGGTTTGAGCGGTTCAAAGCCGGTTCGAACGGTTCTTTGCGGTTCACTAGAACCGGTTCAACCTAGATAGAATGGACCGGATCAGATAGCAATTCCCGATTGAACCGATTGAACCGGCCGATCCGATCCGATTTTCAAAACACTGATATTGAATCAATTTAAGCTTCATTTAATTAAATAATATGATGGTAAAAAGTAAATATTTATTGATTTGTGTAGGAAAACACAGCTCTATCCTTTACAACGGTTAAAAACATTCATATTAACATATTCGCATCTCTTATTACAACGGTTATAAACATTCATCTCTTCTGATTTAAACAAAGAGTTGTAGTCAACTATTAGACAACCATTAACCAATGTTAAAACATTTTATCTCCGTAAAAATGTAGAAGAAGAGTAAGTGAAGGGGAGAGTTCATATAATTCTCTCGATTTTGATGGAGAGAATTTATAATGACTCTTCATAATGATGTCGGGTGTAAAATCATTATGATTATATATTAATTAGTACTTATCAAGTTAGGTGGATATGATCGACTGACAAAAGATTTATCTTTAAAAAATCACATGAATTTGTTAGAAATTATGTTAAAATATTACGACTTCTTAAGAATGTAAGACATTTAAGATAATTCTTTCGTTAAAATGCAAAGCAAATACGACAAATCCCAAAAAAATAAAAAACTCATTACCATCTTCATAAAATAATAGAATTGAACATAAAGCAGAGAAGATTCAAGATTTTCAAATAAAATAAAATATACAGGCTTAATTTTATAAATTTTTTAAAATTTAAACTTTAAATTTTAAAACAATACAATAACTCATAACTAAAATTATAAATGAATCAAATTTGAATAAATATATATAAATATTAATAATTATTTATATAAATAAAAAATAAATATAAATATGATATTTTTAAATATCTTTTATAAAAAAATTAAATTTGAATAAATAGTTTAACAAAAGAGTTTATAAATGAACATATAAATAGATTTGTTCTTAATATAAATGAATCAAATAAAATTTTGTTTAAATTTATTAATTCAAACATGAATTTTATTTATATTTAATAAACCGATAATAATATATGAAGTATGAACAGTTCACAACAAGTTAAGTGAACACCCCGTGACAGATGGTATATTTAAATCTAAAGAACAATTAAAACTTGTGAGGGAAAATGCTCAGAACAGTTACTGAGGAAGACGAAGAAGTAGTCTGCCAAAAAAAAACTTGAATTTACTGTTAACTGTCCTTTCCATCGTCGTGCTTTCCAACAGATTTCCTTTGTTTTCTTCTTTTTTTATTCCCTTTATTTCTGCAACACGCATCCGATAAGCTTACAACTAAAAGTCCCACCGCCATGAAATCACGCCGCTCACTCTGCTTCCACTTCAAGCTATCTCCTTTTCTCTTCCCTCTCATTAGACTAATCAACTAAAACTTAATTTTTTACAGATTTTTTTCCTCTTTGATTTGGAAGCAAAAGCTGAATCCCCTTCAGTTTCACACTCTCCTTTCTTCGTTGTTTTGACAACAAAGTCAATGCTCCTCACTGGCAGAAAAGGTCAGCATTCAGCTTGTAAATTCTTGGGTCTTTGTTACTTTTTAATTTTTTACATGCAGTTTTTCATCCGGGTCTTCTTTGTTCTGCCTTCTTTTGGTAAATGAGATAAAATTGAGTTGATTTGTTCATAAAAGATGGCAATTTTGGTATGAAAGATAATTCAGTAGCTAAAGTTTGAAACATTCCAAAAGAAAATGGAATATTGTTTTTTCCCCTTCATTTTCTAATGGCATTTGCTTTTGTTTATTTGGGAATGCAGCAAGTGATTTAAGGATGTTGCTTATGTTGTTTTCGTTGAATCAGGGCTGAACAATTGTTGCTGTTGTATGTTTGGGACAATCTTTGAAAAAGACTGATTATTAGTATATCAAAAGCATGTAAGAAACCATCTCATGAGAATATGTTTTAGTATTGGTGGATATTGTATTCGAGTATTTTGTAATTTTGTATGTCACTTGACATTAGAAAATGCTTTGGTTAAACAGAATATGCCTCAAGACGGTCTAAGATCAATTGTTTGCAGATCGTTTGTTGTGTGTGATGATCCGAAGGGTGTCGTAGAGTCCGCGAAGAAGATGGAGCAGAAGAACAAAGGCAGAGTATCGAGTAAGGTTGAAAGAGATGAGACAGTGTCTAACGGTGCCATGGAAGAACTTCGTTGCTCTTCTTCCAGTCAGCTGGTGGAGGTTTCTAGAGGGGCTCACAAGCTGAACCAGGTGATCAACTCGTGGTCGAGAGGAGGGATTTGGTGTGATCAGCATTCGGAAGATATAGCTAAAGATCTGTTGAAAGGAGCTCTCGAATTGCAGGATTCTTTACACGTGCTAGGGAAGTTGCAAGAAGCATCTCATTTGGCTAGGTTGAAGAAGAAAGAGAAGGAAAGATCTGATAAGGTGAGAAATGATCAATTGATTTGGAGAGTGAATTCGAGTCCAGTCTTTGAGCCGAATTCTCAGAAGGGAATCCAGAATCCGCACCTTTCAGCCGGTGCTTCTTCAAGAGATTGCATTGACGAGCTTAGGGAAGTGATTAGAGATAGCTTAGCTAGGCAAAATCTACTGCCAAACATAAATGCTGAAGAAAAGAGATGCTTTAGTTCAAGATATCCGGAATTAGCTTCAGATATCCCGTCAACAAGCTTGAGTCGGTCTTCGTCGTTTCAAACCGACAACTGTGCTTCCATGGATTCATCTGTCTGCTCGGCAGTTGAAGAGAAGAAGGCAAGAGGCCCAAGTTTGATCGCAAAGCTTATGGGCCTTGAAGAAATGCCTTCAAAATCATTGCAGACACATTCCCAGAAAGTTATGGAGAAAAAGAAGACTTTCAGTCAACAAAGACCTACCTTTGAAATTGATACGCCACAAGTTCGGAAGTCTCAATTTGTTTTACGAACAGAAGATCCGGATAAGACGCTGAAGGATGTCCTTGAGACCATGCATTTTAAAGGGCTACTAAAAAACAACTCCATCAAAGAGATTAAGCCTGATTCTTATCAATCAAGTGACTTCTTTTCCGGAAACAGGTTGATTAACAGCAGTCCACCTATTGTACTCATAAAACCACGACGTGATCCACATCTGCAACAGCAAGAGAAGTTTGAGCCAGTGTTTCAGGAGGAGAGAACCTCAAACATTGAAGCAATGCTCAAAAAGCCGAAAGTAAAAGAGGATTCTCCTTCCAAAATTTTCAAACCCGGTAATAGAGGTTTGAAATTCAGTAAAATGAGCAGAAGAGTGGAAGCAAAAGGAACTCCAGTGAAGAGACTTATCCAGCAGGAAAGTGGAAAAGACATTCAAGATAATGTGACCAGACCAGTGAAAAAGGAAGTGAAGATTAAACAAAGGCTTCCTACTAAGATGAAAAGTTTGGGTTCAATAACTCAGCCATCCGTGAAGAAAGTGGCAACTGCAAAGAACATCAACATGATACCAAAGCCTATGATAAGCAGCAGAGGACCAGTTGTCAAGGTGGTTGCAAAAGCAAAGAATTTATCAAGGTCTAAAGATCAACCCGAAGTTGTCCCTCGAAAGCCCAGTAAACCTGAGAATGCATCAAATGTTACAAAAAATAAAATTTCCCATCAATCAAGTGCAACTGCAAACTCCAACTCTGTTCGCAAACCACAAAATACAGTTCGTGGCCCCGTTGATGTGAAAAAGAGTTCAATGAAAAAGGCAGTGAGCAAGCCTACCGTAACTAAAATAACTGAGTCCTTTTAAGTTTACTTTCTGCTGTTATAATTCTAATTTCGTTAAGTAGCATATTGACATACGAGATTTAAAATGCATTTGCTACACGTATTAAGCTATGAAAATAAGATGGAACGTTACTAAATGTGGTTTACCTTCTGTGCAGATTGAAAAGTTAGAATGCAAAGGAGATAAGGTTATTTTGGAAGGAAAGAAGATTAATATTGTATCAGAAAATGATACTGTTTTGGAAGAAAAGAGTGTTGATCTTGGATCAAGCGATGACACTGTTTTGGAAGAAAAGAGAATTGATCTTGCATCCAAAAGCGATACAGTTTTGGATGAAAAGAGGACTGATCTTGCATTGAATGATGTTACCGTTTTGGAAGAAAAGAGAATTGATCTTGCATCCGAAAATGACACTGTTTTGGATGAAAAGAGGATTGGTCTTGGATCAAGTGATGATACTGTTTTGGAAGAAAAGAGAATTGATCTTGCATCCGAAAATGATACAGTTTTGGATGAAAAGAGGATTGATCTTGCATCAAATGATGATACTGTTTTGGAAGGATATAGCACTGACACCACAGACCAACTTCCTACGGAAGAGGGAACAGAACACACTGATATTCTGATTGAAGGTAAACACCTTTTTGTGACTGAAATTTTATCAAATCACAATGTTGATATTAGCCAGATGCCATTTGCTCACATTAGAGATGTAGATACATATAGAGACATCTCTGATGTTACTGCATATACAATGTCTGTCATATTTAAATAGTTACATGCTGGAATTTGCTGTTTCTCTCTTCAAATGCTTTACTTCCTCCTCGGAGTCGACCACATGGATTCCGGGACACTGTGAATCCACATTGTCCGTTGTGTTGAGATTCTTGACTTTTAACTCGGATTATTTTGCCTCGAGAGAAAAGCATGTAGCTTCAGAACAAACTTAATGACCAAAATGGGGATGCTGACTATTTCTTTTCTTTTGCTTTTTTCTCTTATAGAACAATGCTGCGAGAGTTTTGTTTGTGATGTCACTCTGGTTACTATCAATGATCAAAACAGCAGAAAATCTATCGGAGGCGATGATGATTCAATCACTCCGATTGGAGCCGACAGTGGAAGCTTCATGACAGAGACCGGTCTAAAGGCGTTGCTATTGAGCAGTCCAGCATTTAACGACACACGACTTTCCTTGGACTGTGCGAACGAAATTGTTCAACGAAAAAACCATCCTGATTCTCAACTGATCCACCTTCCCTGGTCAGGCCTGGTAGGAAATGCCAAAAGGCATATCTCTCTAGATCATTTGTTAAAGGAGACTCTCGAAGGTGTCGAAGCTCTGAGAAGCTATAGTGAACTTGCCGATGGAAACCAACCCACCGATGGCCTATTTGCAATGCTGGAAAGAGATATTAACCACAGTGAAGCTTTGAGTGGAATATGGGACTTAGGTTGGAAGAAAGGATTCTCAATGGATGACACAATTCAAGTAGTGGAAGATATAGAAAAGCAACTACTAAGAGGAATAATTGCAGAGATTTGTGCATAAATTTTGCTTGTTAAAATGGATCATCAGATCTGCAGATTCAATAACTTCAACAGATCGGTAATGCAGATCCAAAGTGTGAGCCGTTTTCTCCCATTCAAAATCATGGTTTCATTGCTGTAACTGAAAATATGTAAATGACCCAAGTTTTATTTTATTTTTAATATATGATATTTTGGCCTAAAACTTATTCAAACCGAGTTTATAAACTCGGTCAATCATTGGACCTCCATGTGTCACGACAACCTTGACTGACTCGGTTCCTTTGAAAGCTACTCAAGACTCAATCATGTACCGTCTGTTTATGTTTTATTCACCATTTCTGACGCTGGAGTTTGCCAATTGCCATAAACCTATAAGCAGCAGCCTTGCTGAAAATGACAACCGAGCAGAAAAGCAACCGATTTCATAATAAGAAAAACAGTTTACATTATTCTAAATCAACCATAGAACTTCTTTCAAGAACATTGCAAACAAGCACAAAGAGACATCTGAACAGCCGAGTTCATCAAATTAAACACAACTCGGCAGCAGCAGACTCATCAAGCTTATTACCCTTTACATACATATCCCTGCAGACCAATAAAGCTGGTTTTTTGCTCTGCCCTAAAAAGATGAACCCTTGAATATAAGGAAATTGAGAGTCCCCAAAGCAAAATACACAAAAGTCCCTTTCGTATGAGTGAAGAAACACACAAAGTTTGAACCCACCACACATTGCCATCCACCGCCATATTTCTTGTCAAATTCCTGCAATTTTTTATATAAAAACTAAATCTTTCATATAAAAGCAAAATAGAGAAAGGGTATTGAAAAATGAAGACCTTTTTTATGTGAGCAGCAATCGAGATGCAATCAGAAACATCATAGAGATCAAGAGCTTGAGAAGCAGAATCCATGGCTTGGGTCTGCATCTTCTCCGGCATATCAGTTTCTTTTATCAAAGCTTTGCCTTCCAACATTTCTTCAGCTTCTTTTTCTTTTGTGATGAAAATTTATTGCAAATAAAAAAGGGAAGAGAAACAGAAGAGATTCACAAGTAGCGATGGAAAAAAAAATCCGAATCCGACAGGAAAAGTCGAAAATCGAATTTAACGGGTCGGGTTCAGGATGATAAACGAAGACGAGGACGGGTTTGGTAATTCCCGCCTCGATTACCCGTTCTAATATCTGACCCGATAAATATTAAAAATAATTATTTTTTATATATAATATTAATAACATATTTTAAATTAACCCTTAAATATTTTTTATTATTTTTTTCACCCCATACTGACCCATTTTAAAACATCGTCCCATCTTCAATTTCTAGAATTTATCTCAATTTTTACTGTCTCATAATATTCTTTTTTTCTTTTAATCGTGAAAATAGTACTTACACTTCTTGTTTGCAATCACTTGTGAACCTTTAATATCTTTTAATAGACAAATATTGTCTAGTTAAATAGGAAAAGTCTGGTTGGTTTGATGGTATTATGCCACTTCCAACGAACGTGTACTTGCTGCAAGGTCCTCGTCCAGTATACCATTACACACCTGAAGCCCACCATTAGCATTGGCAAGCTGGAATTATGTCTAGTAGAATTTAAAATCAATGCAACTTGCATATTGTCTTCGTCTCTTCAACAGCAACCCTCATTTTCAACTCGCATTCCAATAACCTCATACAAGCTGTCTTTATTACACAAGCTTTAACGTTCCTCTGACAAGCGAAACATGTGAATTAGCCATATTAAAATCAGCCTCGGGACCTATACCAACATCACGTTCTTCCCTAGCAAATGGAACAACAACTGCTTTCTAGTATTAAATTCAAAAATTCTAAAAATTTCAGTTAATTCAAAAATTAACCGAATTAACCGAAATTTATTCGGTTCGATTAATATTTTCGAAAAAAAATTTGGTTCGATTAACGGTTAAAGAAAAAAAAATTCGGTTAATTCGGTTAATGGTAGTTCGGTCGGTTCGGCTACCGAATTAACCGAATGAACAACCATATCGATACCCGTTTAAATAAACGTTTATGCTAAACGAGGATACCCGTTTCCCCGCGATTTTCTCCGATTACCCGATGGGGATCCCCGTTTAAATCCCCACGATTTTTTAAACGGAAACGGGTATCGATTTTTTAAACGAGGACAGAGACTGAGAGACCAATACTCGACCCGAAACCTGACCCGTTGCCATCCCTATTCAGAAGTAAAACCAGAAGGTTCAGTTATATGGGAGAGAGAGTGGAAGATGAGGAACATAATTGCTTATGAATTATACAACTTTTTAAATGGTGGCACGTACTCCAATCCCTTTTTTAGTTTGTCAGAATCTTCAACCTCTTTAAATTAGGGTTCCTTTGGATATATATAATCTAAGATTCTGATACAGGGTGACGCAGCTGTTGGATTCTAGTGGAAATGGTTAACTTCCTTTCATCTTTCTTATCTTTTCTCATTGTTATTAAAAGTTATGTCAAAAAAAATACATATAAAAAATCAACCTCTAACATTTTTTAAAATAATCAATTTTTATTTTTTCAAAATATTTTATTTTTAATTAAAATAATTTTAAATAAAAATTTATTAATTGATCTACACAGAACATGTATTATTGACACGATATTTTATATGTATTTAAATGATAAAGTAACACATTTCGTATCATTAAAATAATATGTCATGTTTTATATTATTAATTAAGTAAATATAAAAAATATCACATCAACCCTATATATTAATTATTAATTAACTAACGATTTTATCATATAATGACTATTTAGATAAAAAAAATTAAAATCTTGAGAATTATAGTATTAAAAAAATCTAAGTAATTATTTAAAACAAATATTAAAAACTAATTTTACCATTTAAACAAAATGCTTGCACCCAACCATCAGAACGACAACTCATTCACATCAGCAACAACTACTTACCAAATTGTAAAATACACTAATTAATCCTTCATTAAACTCCATAATTAGTGCAAAATATTATTGAATTTAGTTGGGTACCAACACCATGTTGAGGACAGTTTCCGTGGGAGATCTCCGAATTATGAATTGCCCACCGTGAAGTCCCACGACCCAAGGTTAAGAGCCTTATGCTCTACTAACTGAGCTGGACAGACAATTTTTTTTGTTTTGAGTCTTTTCTCGAATTTGAGAGATTTGAGGATTTTTTAGATGAGTTTACGATGTTGAAATCATATACAGGTTTGAATTTGAAGTCACCCTTCTGGTTATGAGACTCGTTAATTTTTTTTTTCTGGTCTATTGCATAGATTAAGAATATTGTTATGCTTCCTATTTGAAATCTTTGAACACAGATGTTTTCTGCCACTTGATTGTCTAGGAACTATATGCTTATGCATGTTTATGTACTCATGTAATGATAACTGTACATTATTATTGTTTTTTTGTGTGAAAAGTTTGCCTGACAAGCTTTGTTTTATTTAGACCTTTTACAAAGTTTTCCGGAGCTGGGCTTCAAAGAAGTTCATGACGGGATGGTAAGCAGCATCCTTTGATCTCCTTGCTTTTGATCTATCATGAATATCCTCTGCTACTTGTCTATCATCTTACAGAAATTTTAGTTCTTACCATCGTGAATATGCGGTAAACTTTTAGTTGATAACTCAGAAACCTCTTAGATTTGGTTTCTAATTGTAAATATATGTTAATGGAATTTTTATCTTATGGAAATTATATTATCATTCGCTATGCTGTTATAGACGTAGCTGATTCATTGTTGTTTTGCAGTGTCATTCTGTTTCCTATAGCAATCGCTTTCTACATAACATGATGGTTTATTCACTTTGTTGATGGCTTTTTCTCTCCGATTTATGCTCAACTTGGCATTGATATATTTGGTGAGCATCTATATTAGCTAGCAGCTTAAAAACTTTTATTTGCATCTCCCTTCTAGACCTGTGAACTTGTTTAAATGTTTATTAAATCTTTACCCTTTCCTTCAATTGGATATGAAATTTGTAAATTTATGATATCTTTCCTTGAGGCCGCTGAATAATAGAGGATTGTTGTGCCCTGCAAATTTTTTTGAGGGATTGTAGACAATTGTGATAAATTGATAACTGTGAGGCTTGGATGATACTTGTTATCATACACTATCTTTTCAAAATTTTCCTTGTGCTTACAGCCTAGATGATATGTATTAGCATTGTTCATATGAAATTGGCAAGAATGAGGCTTTGATAGCATGGAAATAGATAAACACATAGATATATGTATATATTCTGGAGATTTTTGCCTAGTGTAAAGAGGTTATTAAATTGGAGTTTTACGTATCCTTAACTTGGTATATTATTTCTTTATATGCTACAAGAACGCTAAATGACTTTCAAGTAGTGGCATTTTGCAAATAGTTTACCCTTATTACATGTACTATTGTTAATATTTTTGTCATTTTTGTTAGAAATGTCTCCTTTTCGCGTATGTACTATCTGGTTAACTTAAAAGGCCTCTTGATGGTTTCTCCTTGTGCTTAGTTGACAGGTCTTGGATTTGTAACTTCTATAACATTCATCTTCTTGGTTGGGGTATTCATGTCATCATGGTTGGGGGCAGCTGTCCTAGGCCTTGGTGAGTTGTTAATCAAGCGGATGCCATTTGATATCTACAATGCCTCCAAGCAGATTAGTTCTGCTATATCACCAGGTGTGCATTCTGCTGGTTTTCTTCGACACAACATAAATTAGTTTAATTGGTCATGTTATTAAAACTATATCAGATAGTGACATTCTATATTTTGCATCTCCTTCATGTTTATATCTTTATTCTGTTTCAGATCAGAACACCCAGGCCTTCAAGGAAGTAGCCATCATAAGGCATCCACGTTTTGGTGAATATGCATTTGGGTTCATTACTTCGTCTGTTACTCTACAGGTGGGCAAATGAAGTTTTTGTTCCTAAACTATAATTTCTGCACGGTGTGATTTACATTCATGTCTAAATCACGTTTTCTTTCCTAAAACCCCCTATCAGTCCGTGAAGGAATCGGTGAGGGATTCCCTTTCATTTGTCCTCATAATTTACTAACACAAGGGAGGGTGGGCTTACATTTGATTGATTCACATAAGCATACAAAGCCCTACACAACAACTGTTTTATTGATATGAATTTACTTTTATGTTACTCAACATTAAACCCTGTCTCAACCGGTTGGTCCAGTTTTTTGAAACACTGGTGGGATTACGGTCTACTTGACACTTCACATTAGGCTGGTTTATCTGTCGTGAGGTGGCTGTACCATAACATATCACGCTTCAACCCAAGCTTATTCTATCTTGTTCATTCTTTTCATTCCAGAAATTGTATTGTCCGGGGGTATGTCGATGCCCCAGATACTGTCAACACTGGATACACGTTTGCCGCTGGAAAGAAGTAGATCCAACTGAAGCTGATCGTTGCTCGTTCACATAGAATGTAACAGACCAATGTTAGCTTTTAAATACAGTTTGGGGGCAGGTAGGCAGTTTCTTGTTGTTGGAAGTGTTGGATTGTGTTTCTTTCAACTATTAGAATGGCAAATGTTTATTGTACCTGAATATATATTATATACTAGTAAATGTACATTTTTATCGAATCGTTTGATAAAAAATTCAACATCAATTTTTAGATTACTCATTCAAGGACAGCGAGAATTAATCGATCTAAGCAAACCCCATTTCTTTATCATAGTTTTAGGGTATGTCTTGTCACATGGGATGTGTAGAGAAATTTGTACTAGATTTTGTTTCATACTTGCTGCTATATCTGTACTACAAAAGTAGTAACCAGAGATATGAAAATAGACTTTCAAAGATGATATTGACGGTGGCAGCCACAGTGATGATGGTGGCGGCTTCAGGTTCCAACCAGCAGGCGGGGAAGAGTGATGTTAGCAATTTGCAGTAGTAGTTGCCCTATAAGAATATATGGGGTTTATTGAGTTATGGAAACATAACTATAAAATTGTGTTACTTTCACAGACATTAACAGTAGCCTTTCTAGTCTGGCTTACCTGATACAAACAATGTGTATATAAACACTGTAGGGAGTCGCATTGAATTCTCGTACACAAAAACGACTGTATACTCCAATGATCCAATAAATATGAAAGTATGCGTTGAAGAACAGCTTCTTCAATATCTACAGCTTTTTTCGAATCATCAGCTTTCATGAAATCTGAACTACGCTGTGCCGGAAAATTCAAGGAACACCATATGATATATCTGGACAACCATTGACGAATTCTCATCAGTTTATGAACACCAATTTACATGAATTTACAAGCTGCCCTTGCATCCTATTATCCCTGGTTGTTGTTAACTGTTTCCGGCATATAATCCCCGGTTGCAACCGGTAAACACTTGCTTGAGTGAGGAATGCCGATGCCGATTCGTATTTATTCAACACCATTTGGCTTCTTGTTTTTGTACTGGATGATCCGTTTTGCTCAGTCATGGCTACTCCGGGTATCGGTAAAACATTAGAATAAGTAGCACCGAGGTTTTGTTTCTTATACATCTCTCTGAACCCTCAGCTGGTATCTCATCTTTATTATTCGATACAACTCCTCGATCTACACTTTTTATAATTCTTCTTGCTTCGTTTAGTAAACCGATTGCACGCCAAGCATCTGCAACAAGCTGTATGGTTCCCTCTCGGCAGATATACCCTTCTCTTCCATAACCTGCAGGTGTTCTTCCGCTTTCCAAGGCTGTTTTGCTTCCCCATATCCCCATATCAAAGTCTCATAAGTAGTCAAGTTGGGGGAAACACCTACTTCATACATTTTCTCATAAATTCTGGCCGCACGCTCCATTTTTCCGGCAGTGCACCAGCCACTGATGATGGTGGTGAAGATTACTACATTTGGACGTACACCGAACTTGCTCATGGACTTGAGAAGTGACTCGGCCTCTCCTGGCTCCCCGGCACGAATATAGCCTTTTGCCAAGATGCTAAAGGCGTGGACGTCGGGTTCAATACCAGCCTTCACCATATCATCGAAGATCTCCTCACATTTGTCCATCAACCCTGCTGAGCTCCATGCATTCATAATCGTACTAAATGTTATAACATCTGGTTTGACCCCGAATTCTTCCATCAGTGTCAATGCCTGGAAAATTATTCTTTTTGTAAGCGAATGATTAACACAAGATATAATAGAAGTGGTATTTTCTAGTGCATGATTCCAGGAGCATACTATAATTACTAGATGAATGAGAATAATTTTCGGAAAAAGCAAACACGAGATTTAAGGCTGAAACTCACTTCATCAACTCCGTCGGTATCCGTAGCATCAAGAAAACCTTTTATCAGAGTTGAACACAACAAGATTTGGTTTCACTCCTAGCTCCTTCATCCGGTACACGAACCTCAAAGCTTCAGTCATATTACCTTCTTTACAATATCCGGTCACGATGATGCCGCAAGTACGCACATTGGGAGTCACTTTGTTGTTTTGCATCTCGAATATCATCTGTTCTGCCCTATAAGTCTCCCCGGTCTGAGCATAGGCTCTTGCTATCGTATTGTAAGTGACAGCATCGGGTTGCATACCGGATGCCACCATTCTATACACCACGTTCCATGCTTCTTGTATGTTCAGCTTGTTGCACCATGCCCTAATCAGAATATTATAGGTTCTATCATTCGGCTGCACATTTTCTTCCTGCAACATCAACTCTAGTAGTTTCGACGATTCTTCGGCCTTGCCAATATTTCCATATCCTTTCATAAGGGTATTGAAAGTACTGGTCGTAGGCTTGCATCCGCTCTTCTTCATTTTCTGAAAGATTTTCATGGCTTCTTTCACATTCCCAGACTCCGAAAAGGCATTGATCATAGCATTGAAGAGAATCGAATCAGGCTTCAAGCCATTCTCTTCCACTTTGGAGATAAGCGAAATAATGGATTTGTAACGTTTCTGGTGGGTTAACGCCGACACTAGAGCCGTGTAGGTCACGAGAGTTGGTTTGTGTCCTTCTTCTACTAAGCTGTTGAAAATAAACTGAGCTTCTTGAGGCTTCCCCTTCTCGATCAGAACATTCATTAGTTCGTTCTAGCACGAACGGTCCGACAACCGTTGTTTCCCAAGCAAACAACGCATTTAGATTTAACTTCAGAATCCACAGAATCTGCACCTGAATGTGACTGTTCATTCTCATGTACATGTGATACCTGTTACATTGAAAGCAATCAGTATTGGATCATTACCATGCAAATAACGAGCATGTGCTCATATAGGTAAGTATGCATACAAGGAAAAAGAACTGAACCAATTAGAAAAACAGAAAGCCAGTCGAAAAGATAATACCACAACTGCCGAAGCTTTAACCGGCTTCTTGCTCATGATTGTTCCCTCCTGATGCTTAACCATGGGAATGGACCTTGTTCCCTCCTGATGCTTAACCATGGGAATGGACCTCCTTTTAGCCACACTATCCAAAGCTTCTTCTCCGCTCTTCACCATCTGATTAACCAGCACCGTCCTTTTTGTCAGATTGGAGATAGAATCATTTCCAGGCCATATGTAGGGACGGGGAACGTTCTTTCCGACTCGATTTCCTCTGCTCAAAGATTACACCTGAAGAACCTATCCTAAATAGAACCAGATAGGAATGCAGAAAAAATCAAGACATTATGCATCATAAAAAATAAGTGAAGAAACAATGATTTTTCAGCAAGTAGTAGATCCACAGGAGAAGATTCTTACATCCACCCAACTCAGTCCATAGATTTCAATTGCAAATATATCTAAGGAGCAGAAAATTCCCGAGTGTCACGGATAGAATCGAACATAAATTGGTCATTTTCGACTTAAAGCAGTTTTCTTTAGATGCACACCTCTAAACTAAGATTTTGGAAATGGTTTATGTTTCATCTTACACAAGATGGCAATGGATATATTTGCACCTCCGCTAGCAATTCTCTGCATACCGAGGCTTCCGGAATTCCTGGAAACCTTCAGAGTTTTGTATCCTCCGGACTGTTGCGGCCACTTGCCGTGACCGTCAATCCGTCACCGACAAAATCTGCTATATGATGACCAAATCTACTCACAATAGCCATATCACCCTATGCCTAATATCAGCACTATATACACATGTATAAATTGTGTCATGCAAAGCTGAAGGGACTCTCTCTGGACTCTCTCTAATTATAAATCAACTATTCATCGTCATCTTCAGCCAGTTTATCTTCCCATTTATTTCTACAGAGCTACCATATGCGGTTCTCCACCCAAAAAAACCACACCACCCTATTCTTGTCATCAACAAATTCAAAAGTCTACACGAGTTCATGTTTTAGCCAAGAAATAGCAGCATCTATCAGTCCATCAACAATCATACACAGAAAAGAGAAGGAAGTCTAGATGAACAGTTAACCATACATCAACACAAGCAGAGTAAGACCAACCCCCTGCAAATGTTTACACACACCAAGCAACCTCTATCGAAATAAATAAAACAAAACATTTTCAACAAGTGCTGATCGTACCTCTAGAGAAAAGTGTTTTGATTTTGCTTGGCCAATACTTGAGAGTTGAGAGGGATGAAAGGAGCCAATAGAGAGTTGAAATAGGGAAAGAAGTGTAATGGGGAGTGGGTGAGTGGTGACTGTGTTTGACACATCCAACTGAGATTCTTATCCACAAATATTATCAGAAGCAGATTCTCTGCATGGGTTTTTTTTTTTTTTTTGCCACTTATGAATCGGTACATTATTTGCGGAATCACATGCTGCCACGATAGCTTTTGCTCCAGTGGCTAACAATTTTAGAGCTAAGAAAATTTATAAACTATTTTTATGTTGATTTTTAGTTTCCCTTTGTCTGTAGCTTAAAATTGAGCTTCAATAATTGAACTAAATATTTTGTTTTAATCTGGACCCTATATTTATTTTAAATTAAACCATGTATAGGAAAGGATCCCTTACATTAATATAAAATTAATTGAATTTTCATGATGGAATTCATGAGCTATTTCTTGAATATGCAGAAGAATGGAATGGGATGGAATGGAATGTTGGAAATGGGAAGGCCGACGAGTCTCATCAAGGGAACCTTCTTTCAGATTTCGATGTCTGCATTATGGAGACTGGTAGCCAGCAGGTGAACTCTGAGTTGGATCAGTGAGTCCTTGTTGTCTCGTGTCCAAGAGTTTGATGTTTAGGGTGGTGGAAGTTGAAGAAGATGAAGTATATGAGCTGACACTTTCCCCTAACATTTTTGTGGATTCATTAAAGTATTATCAGCTGCTCCTGATTCGGTCTTTGATACAACAATAAAGAAATTAGATGAGAGACCTAAGCTCCTTACGACCAGAGACCGTGGAACCCCTAATCTGTCCCAAGGACTGGCTCCATTATGGGATTTGAAGTATCACCGATTAGCTTGGAAATGAACTGAGTTTAAACGAAGATCAGTGACGAATTCAAGATTAAATACTGATAAGGGTTAAAATATTAATTTTTTTAAATATAATGATTTATTAGATATTTAAACTTAAAATTCAGAAGATAATGTCAATTTATCTAAAATTTAAATTTATAATGACCTAAATTGTTATTACACAAAAAAATAGCATGGGATTATCATCTTTAATTGGTCCATACTTAATTAAATTTAATTTAAATATTTATTTTTTACAAAAATCAAAATAATAATAAACCACAATTTGGAATATGTAAATTTTTATAGGGGCCGGTACCCCTTTGAGCCCTAAGATAGCTCCGTATTTGAATAAGATTATGTCATTATTTGTTTATTTATTTTTAAAGGTATTTACGTTCGTTTATTTATTGTACGTTCATAAATTGTGGAATTACACTACTAATCTTTTAGCTCCTTAGGCTTTACATTTTGAACTCAAAAATTCATCATGTGTTCAATTTAGTCAATATTTTTACCAATATTTAAAATATAAAAAATATATAGAAAACGAGAATCGGATAATTGAGCTTATGAACGAGTTTATTCGTGAACATAAATGAACCAAACACACATTGTTCTTGTTATTTGTATTAAATAGACATAAAAAATTTGATCATACTCATTATTTAACTTAATAAACGAATATAAACAATGTTATATGAACGATTCATCAAACGTTCTATTCATTTACACCCTAATCACCAACACACTCGATTCGTCGAACAGGGTTAAAAAAATCTTTTGAAAGTTCAAGAATACATTTAAAATTAATCTTTTAATGATTCAATGGTCAAAGTAAAAAGACCCATAACTTAAATGATCAAACTGTTATAAAAGTATCTTTAAATTTATTAAAAGTTATACATTTTATAATAATATAATAAATTTCATGATTATTTGTATGAATTTAATGTGATTTGTATATTTCATCTATTTTGTTTTACTTCACGCTTCCAATAATTTCAAGGAAAAGAACCCTTTCATTGTTTTGTTCGTAATAAAAAAAAAGGAACTTTAATTATTTTGTTAATCATAGTCAGATTTGTTGTATTTTGAATAAAAAAAAAATCAATCTTGATTTTTTTAATAACAGATTCACTGAGATAGAGCTGTTAAGAAAAGCATGTCTGTTCTTCCCTCCTTTTGTTGCTGTCGCAACTTTTCGTTCTCGTGCTGATCTACTTGTGATAAGCCAAAAATGTCTTAGTTAGCAACAATGCTTACCCGGGTTTATGGTCACAATGGATTTAATGATGTTATGGTGTGCATTTCTTGGCATTTGATATAAATTGAGTTTTTCCCTTGTTTATCCCGTCATTTGCAAAATTCAATCATAAATCTTAGGTGATATGAATTCTTCAAAGCTTGTGCGATTTTTGATCAGGTAATTTCCCCCCCTAAATGATTGTTTTATAAAAGTTGGTTGATCTTTGACTCTTTTGTCTTTCATGCATCCGACACATTCACAC